GGGTTAGGGTCCGCCACTGATTGATGACGTTGATAGCTTACTCTAGGAGATTTAATAGCCTCTCTGCTAGAATTGTTTGGACACTCAGTACTTTAAGAGTTGGACATGTTAAAGCTGTAAATTTATTTACTACAATTTCATAGCTATGAAGAAAAAGTACAAGCAAACTATGGACAAAGAAACAGTGAAAAGGATATCAAGGGTAAAATAATCCTATACTAACACCACGTGAAAACGGACCACTACCAACAAAAAGCTAAAAAAATTAGGCCAAGTCGTAACTCTGTTTGCATTCACTTTGACCTTAGTATAAAAAGCAGGCTGTTTTGTAACTCTTGCGTCTTTGCCGACATGGCATGGTGTTGAGAAAATAATTAGTGCGGACAGTTGCGGACCTAACCCCAACCCAGGCCCCTCTGAGGCACCTGAAAGTCTCGTGACCAAATCATGCCCTTAATTGGAACAATTGACCTTTGTTCTGTAATTGTGTGACGCAGGCGCACAAGACGTAAACATTACATCATCTTCTGGCATCAAAACAAACGTTTAGATCTATCGGCGTTTTCCAGGGCGTATTTTGATATCAAGAAAGGGGAGTATGTCGGAAGAAGAGGCTGAGGGTTCCATACAGGTGGAAGATACCTCCGAAAAAGAGAATATCGAACCACCTTTAAAAAAGGCAAAGTTAAGAGAGGATAAACACATCGATCGTCTCGGTAAACTCGAAGCTCGTTTGAGCGACATTTTGAGCTGCACCGTTTGCCTTGATTTGCCCAGTAAATCGGTTTTTCAGGTATTTCTATTTTGCTGTTTGTTTAAATAGATATTTGCTTATTCCAATTTTCATGCTCATGTTCAGAAAAGGGCTAACCCCTGCTGTAAATTCCTTGGCTAGGCTCAACGCCAATACATGTTTATGGACTTCAAGTTAAGCTTACGTTTTCAACGCGCTTTCTTTTTCTATCTTTTAGCTTATATTCATTGTCAGGCTTTCAATTATTATTTTTCTTTTAGCAGCTTGGACACTCCCTGTGTGTATTCGAGGTTAATTTGACAAGGGGAGGTCAAAATGATCCTTGTCAATTTTCATCCTTCGTTGACATTCGTGCCTTCATTTCCAACTAGCTACCCCGTAAGTTCGCGTTCATTTGAAAAATAAACATTTCGTTGAAGGAGTTGAGGTTCAGAGAGTTGAGCAAATAAGGTTGAAACAATTTTTATCGTAACATTTTCGGTTTCTTCCTTAATCTGACACAAAATTGGTTTGCATCCTTGAACTTAATGTGGTCTACTGAAGCGTAAAAATAATGTGTAGAATTTGCTAAACATGCATGTGATAAAGGCGTGATAGCTTCTGGATGTTGAAGGTTGTCTAACCATACAAAGATCTTTTTTGTTGTCCACGTGGGTAATACGTGGATGGCTTTTAACGATCCTGCGACGTTTTAGAATTGAACCGATCTTCCACTTGTATTGGGTGCTATTAATAATTAATCACACTGTTTTGTTTTAATATTGTTAATATTTAATGATTTAACTTAAACTCTCATTAATAATTCTCTAAACAGTAATATCTATCTGCCTTTGCACAAATAAATCACACAACAGTCATGGTGGGACACAGAGAGAAGCAACAAACAATAACAAATTTATTAATTGTTACATTATTAATTTTTTTACTTTCTACTTGGTCCCAGGGTTCCCTTGGCTTATGTAAGATAATTATTACCTTATTAGGGATTAAAGCATTAACATGTATATGCGATGGTGTGTTATAACATCGATGGTAATATTATTGTGGGTACATCTTTTATAGCCAATGTAGTGAACATTGTGGTTTCTAATATTATGGTAAATTGCATTCTTCTCTAACTTAGTGTCGAAATGGACACCTCATGTGTGCCTCATGCTTCACTCACCTTCTGGCCGACAGCCGGCTTAAAAATGAGCAGCCAACTTGTCCAAACTGTCGAACTGAGATAAATCGCAACATCTGCTCTCGCAACCTAGCTGTTGAGAAAACCATCTCTGAGCTTCCAACAGAATGCTCACACTGCAGTCAGGAGTTGCCACGGAGCAGTTTACGAAATCATGAGGAGAAAGAATGCCTGAACAGGTATGTGACTTGTTTGGATTTAGTTTTACTGATCTTGCTTCTTCAGTGTTTCAACATTGAAATGCTTCACTTTTTGTGCATCTCAGTCTTTTGCAGCTCATTTTTTTCTTTATGCATTGATGAAATAAAATAGTGAAAAAAATATCTTGTTTGCATTTTATCTCTGTCTGTGTGATCTTTTCTGGGCATGGGGGTAACGTTACGGTATGCCATGTGCACCTTTTTTACTTTCACTTCAATCTCCCTGAAACATCTACCCATTTCACCAACTTTTTCCCCTCCCTGTGCTTCTAACTTGCAAAACTGATGTTTTTCATGTTTATCACCTGAAATTAAAGACTCTTCGGTTTATTTTTTCTCTTAAAACAACAAATTTAAGTTGTTGTGTTACACTTTTGATGTACTTAACATATTTTAGTTGGTAGATTGTATAATGAAGAGCCTGCTTTATGGTTGTAAATAATAAATTATTATTTTAGATCTCAATGTGCCACTGACAATGTAACAAAACTGATTAATTAGTATTTAAATGAGTTAAGAAATATCCAGAACACTGCATTACAGTGTACAAATAATATTATTAATAAAAACGTCAGCCTAAATATTCTTGTCATGGTAGTATGATAATCTTTGAAAAGTTGAATAAAACAATTTTAAAATGTTGAGTCTCTGTTTTGCCTTATTTGTTTTCGGAGTGCTAACAAAAGAAATAAATTCTGGGAATGTTTTCAGTAAATGACTAGTTGACATTTAAAGTTCAACATACTGGGATGTTAAAGAAAAAAGGGGGGTTNACAAATAATATTATTAATAAAAACGTCAGCCTAAATATTCTTGTCATGGTAGTATGATAATCTTTGAAAAGTTGAATAAAACAATTTTAAAATGTTGAGTCTCTGTTTTGCCTTATTTGTTTTCGGAGTGCCAACAATAGAAATAAATTCCGGGAATGTTTTCAGTAAATGACTAGTTGACATTTAAAGTTCAACATACTGGGATGTTAAAGAAAAGAGGGGTTTGTTGATAATTGTGTTTATTATTGTATAAGGAAATGGGAGTTGATCTATTGGTGGACGCATAAATGTATTGCTGATTGTAGCCAGAGATAACAGATTACATTTCACAATACCACCACTGGTTTCCCCTGCGAAATGATCTCTAAGAAACAAGCACAGAAATTCCATACTGATGATGCGTCACTACCCAGATCTGGGTAGTGCTTCTAATTGGTTGAAGCAAATTTCCCATGCAGCATGACCAATCAGAAGCACTACACAGGTCTTGGTAGTGATGCATCATCAGTATGGAATTTCTGCACTTGTTTCTCAGACATCATAATTTCACGGGCAAACCAGTGGTGGCACCATGGAATGTTGTCTGCTTTCTCAGGCTATGTTGATTGAAGAGTCATTTAACATGAGTATTGATCAAATAGAAAAGCTGCCATGCTTGCATAATTATGTAAATATCCCTCTCTGCAAAATAGTGAGGAGTAAGGCATAATATTGTTTTACAACATTGAAGATGTGATAAGAAAAACAAAATTTGGAATGCTTTTACCAATAGGCCATTTGCATGATGGCGTCATTTTACTACTACGACCAGAATCCTTTTCGTTTTTTCTTTCATATTTAAATTTTGTAATCCCAGAGAGGTTTAAATAACAAAAGCCTTAATTTGCACAAGAAAGCAAAACCCTAAAGGATTCAGGTCGTAGTAGTAAAATGACGTCATCGTGCAAATGGCCTATAGAAGCTAATTTCCTGTTTTCTGTGAAAAGGCACCTAACTCCTTGATTCCTTTTTAGTACATTCTATTAACTTAAAATGTCAACTGGTTATTTTACACACTTGAATTCGTCCCCTTCTCACACTCACACCCTAAGCTTTATTCTGGCACCATGTGTGTAGAGAAATCTGCACCTAGTATTACAGTTTGTTGGGCAGATAAGCTAAACAGTGCCCAGGTTTGACTACATTTTTATTTCTGATGAGGACTAAGAAGAAAAAGTCTTAATTGTTTTTTTTTCTTTTGTAATTTTTGTCTCACAGTCATGTAGTAAATTGATGCAATGTTTTGACTGGTAACCGGTGGCCTGAAAAAACAGCTGACATTTTGCCACGCCAATACTGGTTTCCCCATGAAATGACGTCTGAGGAACAACTGCAGAAATTCAAATGTTACTACCAAGATATGGGTAGCAGTTTTGATTGGTTGAAGCAAATAATAATTCCCTTGTGGCATGACCATCAAAAGCACTACCCAGATCTCGGAATTGACATATCATCAGTATGGAATTTCTGTGCTTGTCCCTTAGATATCAGCTTACAGGGAATTCAGTGGTGGTGTTGGTGGCATACTTGTAAAATGTTGGCTGTTTTGTCAAGCTAGGTGACCAAAGGCTTTTATCAGGTGATGGTGTTGACTGGCTGCTGTGCAGTAAAGTGGCACTGTGGTTGATCAATGATCATAATTGCTGATTTTCAATCCTCATTCTTTGTGCTAGAGGCCTTTTTCTCTGTGGTACCACCCAAATGCACTGCAGCAGCATCAACAGGGATAGTATACACCCAGAATCAGACATGCTTAGCAGACAGTTTCTAACACACTTGAGTGAGGATTAAAACTCACCAATCACCTTAACTAACCATGGTGCCACTAACTGTCCTGCACAACCAATATTATTGATAATATCAAGCGGTGAAAACCAAGAAAAGGGGTTGAAAGGGCACAATGAAAAACAAAGAAATGACTAGCGGAAACATATGAGAGTAAAATTCTCCATCTTGCCAAAAGTTAAGATTTGCCATATGGGTATTTAAAAAACTATCATTTGGCAGACCATCTGGTTTCTCTAACCCTTCTGTCATTATCGTTGTATCTTAGGCGTGACATGAATAAAAACCTCGACATAATTTGGTGTCAAACATGATGACAACAAAACTTAACGTTTGATACCAAATTAGGTCGTTTTTTGTAGCATTGGCCTTGGATGCAATTGACAGTAATGAAAAGTTGTGATGTAATCACTGTTATATTTGCAGCAGCACATAAGCTAGGCTATGGCAATAACGAAATAAAATAACTAAGTTATATTAATGTATTTTCTTAAAATAATAATGTCTTGGTAATATAATACCATAGTCAAAGGATCTGTCAGTAATTTAATTGTAACTAAGTAAAGTAAATTTTGCTAATGCCACCTCAGTGCTCTGTATTATTTTGTGTGGCATGCAGTATTATGTTTTAAACTTGTATGTGTGCTTGTTGGTGTACTTTAAAGCTGTATGTTGTTGTAGTGTAGTTTGTTGATGATGCAGGCTTATTAGGTGTACAGGTTGCGATTGTTTAGGATGTCATCAAAAGTTGTTCTTCACCATCCAAAAGTTGTCTTCATACTAATAGAACAGTGGTTTTGTTTTGGAAGTTTTGCAACATATTTTGAAGCATTTTTGGTTGACGTCATGATAGATACAGTCACTCAATAAACTGACCACATCTGTGTGTAATCAATTATGTTTTTAAAGTTGTCAGGCTTTAAATTCAATCTTGAAAAAACCACCTTGTTTGATAGGGATTGGCTCTTCAAAGGAGGATCATTATTAGCACAATTCCAGTGTCAGTTCCCCCGTTATAGAACTAGTTAGGCTTTGAACATTTTGGTGCACTCAGTTTATAATTATTCTTTTATTCATGACCTACCTTTAGAGAAGAGAAGTGTGAGGTCACAAAAACCCAAATTTGTGAAATTATGGGCTTGGTTAGCATATTCAGAAAGAACCACATGAAAAAAGCCTCCTTGCCAACAATCAGCCTGTTGGTGCAAATTGGTGAGGAGATACAAGCCCCAGTTTTTTAATGATGACTCCATACAAATCCTTCTAAAATTGGCTTGGATTGTATTGTTAACCATCCAGGACTTATATGGAGTTATTGAAGTATAGCAGTGCTTTTACCTCCTCACCACTTTGCACCAACAGGATAATTTTTAGCTAGTGAACAGTTTTCAAGTTGTTCTTTCTGGATATGCCCGCCAATTCCAAAATTTCACAAATTTAGTTTTTGTGACATCGTCACTTCTCCTCTCTATTTAACTAAAGATATATCAGTTTTTCCAGTGAATGTTTTGTTTTTACCAAGCCCTTGTTAAAATAGTGCCATCACAAAAACCTCTTGTACAATGTTAAGCCATGATAATTTACCTAAGTGAAACTTGGTCTCATAATTGTGGTCAATTTTATTACGGGTGATTGCATTTCATAAATTCACAGACGTCAACTGCAGGACCCGATGACAATTTAGGGCTTAAAGCCAATTTTCTCACATGCCAACAATAACAGTTCAATCCCTTATGTAGAAATCTACCTTAATTTGAAAGTGACACTGTGGTTGATCAATGATCATAATTGCTGATTTTCAATCCTCATTCTTTGTGCTAGAGGCCTTTTTCTCTGTGGTACCACTCAAATGCACTGCAGCAGCATCAACAGGGACAGTATACACCCAGAATCAGACATGCTTAGGAGACAGTTTCCAACAGACTTGAGTGAGGATTAAAACTCACCAATCACCTTTAACTAACCATGGTGCCACTAACTGTCCTGCACAACCAATATTATTGATAATATAAAGTGGTGAAAACCAAGAAAAGGGGTTGAAAGGGCACAATGAAAAACAAAGAAATGACTAGCGGAAACATATGAGAGTAAAATTCTCCACCTTGCCAAAAGTTAAGATTTGCCATATGGGTATTAAAAAAACTATCATGTGGCAGACCATCTGGTTTCTCTTACCCTTCTGTCATTATCATAGTATCTTAGGTGTGACATGAGTAAAAACCTTGACATAATTTGGTGTCAAACACGATGACAACAAAACTTCACGTTTGATACCAAATTAGGTCGTTTTTTGTAGCATTGGCCTGGGATGCAATTGACTGAAATGAAAAGTTGTGATGTAATCACTGTTGCAGCAGCACATAAGCTAGGCTACGGCAATAACAAGATAAAATAACTACGTTATATTAATGTATTTTCTTAAAATAATAATGTCTTGGTAATATAATACCATAGTTAAAGGATCTGTCAGTAATTTAATTGTAACTAAGTAAAGTAAATTTTGCTAATGCCACTTCAGTGCTCTGTATTATTTGTGTGGCATGCAGTATTATGTTTTAAACTTGTATGTGTGCTTGTTAGTGTACTTTAAAGCTGTATGTTGTTGTAGTGTAGTTTGTTGATGATGCAGGCTTTTTAGGTGTAAAGGTTGCAATAGTTTAGGATGTCATCAGAAGTTGTTCTTCACCATCCAAAAGTTGTCCTCATACTAATAGAACAGTGGTTTTGTTTTGGAAGTTTCACAACGTATTTTGAAGCATTTTTGATTGAGGTCATGATAGATACAGTCACTCAATAAATTGACCACATCTGTGTGTAATCAATTATATTTTTAAAGTTGTCAGGCTTTAAATTCAATCTTGAAAAAACCACCTTGTTTGATAGGGATCGGCTCTTCAAAGGAGGATCATTATTAGCACAATTCCAGTATCAGTTCCCCCGTTATAGAACTAGCTTTGCTTTGAACATTTTGGTGCACTCAGTTTATAATTTTATTCATGACCTACCTGTAGAGAAGAGAAGTGTGAGGTTACTGAAATTCAAATTTGTGAAAGTATGGGATTGGTTAGCATATTCAGAAAGAACCACATGAAAAAAGCCTCCTTGCCAACAATCAGCCTGTTGGTGCGAAAAAGAATTGGTGAGGAGATATGATACAAGCACCAGTTTGCTCTAATGACTCCATACAAATCCTTCTAAAATTGGCTTGGATTGTATTGTTAACCATCCAGGACTTATATGGAGTTATTGAAGCATAACAGTGCTTTTACCTCCTCACCAGTTTGCACAAACAGGATAATTTTTAGCAAGCAAATAGTTTTCAAGTTGTTCTTTTAGGATATGCCAGCCAATTCCAAAATTCCACAAATTTAGTTTTTGTGACATCGTCACTTCTCCTCTCTATTTAACTAAAGATATATCAGTTTTTCCAGTGAATGTTTTGTTTTTAGCAAGCCCTTGTTAAAATAGTGCCATCACAAAAACCTCTTATACAATGTTAAGCCATGATAATTTACCTTAGTGAAACTTGGTCTCATAATTGTGGTCAATTTTATCAAGGGTGATTGCATTTCATAAATTCACAGACGTCAACTGCAGGACCCGATGACAATTTAGGGCTTAAAGCCAATTTTCTCACATGCCAACAATAACAGTTCAATCCCTTATGTAGAAATCTACCTTAATTTGAGTTGGATTAGAATAATGACCTTGGCAGTGCATGGAAGAACAATCATACATGTAGGCTAAGAGGAAGATTAAGTGTTATTTATAGAAATCTAACCCAGTTTGGAAAAGTTTTTAGACAGGAAGATTACTGTTAATGTTGGAGTATTGCCAGATGCTATGTGTCTACATTTTTATTTAACAAAATTTTATTATGCAAGTCATGTAGACAAATNGGGTGATTGCATTTCATAAATTCACAGACGTCAACTGCAGGACCCGATGACAATTTAGGGCTTAAAGCCAATTTTCTCACATGCCAACAATAACAGTTCAATCCCTTATGTAGAAATCTACCTTAATTTGAGTTGGATTAAAATAATGACCTTGGCAGTGCATGGAAGAACAATCATACATGTAGGCTAAGAGGAAGATTAAGTGTTATTCATAGAAATCTAACCCAGTTTGGAAAAGTTTTTAGACAGGAAGATTACTGTTAATGTTGGAGTATTGCCAGATGCTATGTGTCTACATTTTTATTTAACAAAATATTATTATGCAAGTCATGTAGACAAATATGTAGACATTCTCTGTTCAGTTGTAAAATACTAAAGAGTAAGAATTCAAAAGGAGAGCAATGGTACAGTAGCAAATAGACAACTCATGTAATCTTTTTTGTTTTCAACCAACCACTCAATTAAGTAGAACTGAGGAAGTAGTTATGCAGTCAGTATGGATTTATCAACAAGTTTATCAAGATTTCAGTTATTAATTCTTGGACTTTTTTACTTTCTTTTGACAGGTGGAAAACCCAACACCAGCATCATGCATCCACACTAATTTTATTTAATTCTAAATAAATTATTTGCTAACATTTTTGTCTTTCAGCCAAACTACACTTTCTTAGAAAATTACAAATTAAAGCATTGTTTTGTCTCACTTGTATTTCACTTCCCTGAGACAGCACTATCTTTCTCCCTACAGTTTTGATTAGTGTCTTATGCATTTTCAGGCCTGTGCACTGCAAGTTCAAAAGAATAGGTTGCCTGTGGCACGGTCCATTTCACAAGCTGAGGGATCACGAGGAAAAGTGTGCACATCCAGGCATGACAGGATTACAACTGATGGAATCCTTAGAAGTTGTTGATAGAAAGCACAAGGATGAGATGGAACTCTTCCAAAACATCGTTACATTGCTGTCACATGAAAAGATTGCTATAAATGGTTAATATTCAATTCCTTTGATTTTCTTTTTCTCCTCTTTTGCGTTCAAAACAGCTCACTAAGTAGACTACACTAATCATTGTTCTTAATACAGAGCAAAATTAACCGCAGCGGATTTTATAGGATGCAGCAGGGGAGGGTAATGTGGTTTGTTGCTCAATGTTTGATTCATTATCTTGAGTATGTTTGTCTATGATTTGTTTTTATCTTTCCTTTCCTTTGTAGACTTTCACAAATTAATTCTTCCTTATTACTATTTTTTTGTGATGGGTTGTCACAGACTGTTGTTTCTTCATCATCTTTGTTGATACTGATTACGTTTTTGACTGTTCACAGTTTTTTCAGGCTTGGTTAGTACCAATCCATGGTGAGGCTGTGAAAACTACTTCACAATATTGTTACTAACACTCTTTCAACATTATAAGTTCACTTGATTTGCACAGGGCTTGAATATTTTATTTGTGTATTGTTTACCATTTTCAGCTTCTTGTAAGGATGTTGGGGTGGTTATTTGGATATAAAAAAGCTAATACCTCATGCCTGTAGTCTCCTTTGCAGCGGTTATTGGGCTCATCGTGCAACGCTCCTCCCCAGTTAGTGGGGTGGAGCACTGCATGATGACTCTAATAATGGCTGCAAAGGAGACTACATGCCACACAGCTTCCCTGTCTCTTGACAGTTCCTATGAAAAGCTATGTTGCATTTATGAACACAATATTGATGTTCTCTCAATCTCCATCATTCAAACATACTTTGAACACATCCTCATCAACTCATCCACAATCTGGCAACACATACATTCCTACTAACCAATTCAAGTTCACAATCCTATTAACATCTGTAGACTTGCAGCTCAAGCCTTACCGCTCAGATGACTATATACCTCAGCTCTGCTACGAGAGCAGTCGTTTCAGTGCCCTGGGTCAACAGTGGGTTGTCAAGGCAAACGTTGTTGGAAATGAGAAAACTGTGAAACGCATCCTTACTTACCAACTCGTGCAGAAAGGGAAAACAAATCTGAATGTCAAGTTTCTGATGCTCCAAAGCCCATTCAGTGACTTGATAATCAAGCCTGAAGTTCACCAGCAGCAGTTCACTTGCGACGTTCAGGAAAGTGGTTACCATGATCTTGTTCTTTCAGACCCTCTGGAATGCAATAAGATGCTGGAGGCCAATTCTATTAAGTTGAGGATGATAATTTTTCAAATTCCTGGCTCAGATTGAGTTTCTAGTTATGAAAGGTGTATGTATAGAAATAATATAAGTTTTTCAGTTTCACTGTTAAGCTTGCAAGAATGCAGTATTATTATTTAATGTTTCAGCAACTATGAAAACTCATGGATGCCTTTTCTGTTTAATTTACAACTTAAAGCTCTTTTGGGTATTTTTCATTGGGGATTTTTCTTAATTCTGTAGTGACACTTATTTGCAAAGAGAGTTCTATCAGAACTGCAGCACATTTTATGATTGCGATTTATGGTAGTTTCCAGAATAATAACACCTGTAGACAGGAACAGAAGGGTTTTATGGAATTTAACTCTGAGCTATTATTATTATTATTATTGTTGAAATTGTTTATATATTGACCAAAAACAGTAGTGAAGATACTCTAGAAGCGGCAGTTATGATGGAGTCTGCTCATCTCAACTTAACAAAACTCCTTTTTACCACAGACCAGGCTCCAGTTGTTCAAAAGGTGGATAGTGCTATCCACTGGATAAATCACTATCCAGTGGATAATGCTATTAGTTTTCGTAATTTTTATTCACTGGATAGTGATTTATCTGGTGGATAGCACTATCCAACTTTTGAACAACGCGGGCCTGTTATGAAAAACATTATTGTTTTACCAGTTACAGTACAAGTCTTACGGCATTTTGTTATTTCTGGGTTCCATTGTACCTTCTTCTCTGTCTTTATTTTTTGTCTGTCAAGAATTCTACAAACATATTTATTCACAAAAGAAACTGAATCTGCTTCACAGATGTCTTTTCAATCATCAAAACATATACAGAGAATTAAATTTATTATTAACCTTGATGTAAATACTCTATCAGTATCTTAGTCAATATCATTAGTGTGGAGAGGTGTGATAGATTTTACTGCTCCTAATACTTCCTGGAATTTGTGTAAAATTGCATTCTAGCTTGTGTGAATCTGAACACTGAATATGTATAAGTAAAGTGTAATTTAAGCTTGATCAAATCAATTTTGACTGCTTGTAAATATGAATTATTTTAACAGTAGATAAACCCTACAGCAAAGTGAAATTACGAGGAATGTAAATGAATGTTCATCATTGTTTGAGGTAGGCAAAAAACTATCAGCAACCATGCCTATCTTTTAGTACAGCGTACTTGATATCATTAAAATTCTTTCAACTTACATAATGTTTTCAAGACTTTTTAATCATGCTATACCCTCGGCACAAGTTGTGCTGGTCATTATGAAGTTTTTCAAAAATTTTCTCTGTTAACCAGATCTATTAAGGGGGAACTCCTCCTAACCCTCCTCCCTATATCTGGCACTGCATATTGCCCTCTCTTTGCCTATGAAACGAACAGAGAGTCACTCAGGGCATCTTTGAATGCACCCCTCAACCTTTGATGACAGTTTACTTGAAACCAATGGGAATGTTGGGTTTACAAAATCTCGTTCACAAAGATGATTTCACTACAGCTATACATGTATGTGCACGTCCAAGATTCATTGCTATGGTCGGACATATTTGTTTGGCAATTCTACTTGATCAAACCAAACATAAGAAGAAGATTTGCCACAGCTAAAACATAATGAAACCAGTCAACACCTGGTAAACCAAGAAAATTAGTTGACTTAACTGCACTTGCAAGTCCATAAGCCAAGGCACCGACACAAGCAGAAAAGTTTGAGTTAATAAATGTTACCAGTAATATTCCTATCACTGCCAGGCTGCTCACTACTATGCTTAACTTCTCTTTTAATGGAGTATGGACTAATGAGAGTAAGCATGCACCAACTGAACTCACAAAATGGAAGGTGGCATTTGCAGGCTTGTGATGGTAGAAGCAAAATCCTGCAGCAATAAAGGGAATTCCTGCAAAGATACACTGTAGGTTATGCTCCTGCATTGCCTTATTTTCAAACCAAGGGGCGCTGGGTACAAGGCTGTATATTATGGGGTTATCAGCAAAAGACCCATATACCGAGAAAAAGCACATCAAACTTAACAAAATCCTCAAGTTTGGTCCTTTTCTGGGCAGCCTATGTTGAAATTGAGATACAGCCATTCAAACGCTCTCAAAATTACCAGATATGTATAGAAATCGGGACTAAGGTATGTGTCCTGTAATACGTATAATCCTTAGTAAATTTTCAGGTTTTTGGCCTACACCCTGGGAGAAATCTTATTGTCTGCACTCCAGACTTTGAATAATCAAATGCCAATTCCCACATAAAAACTGAGCTGAACATGCATCAAGTGCATGTGGAGTGAAAGCAGTGGTTTGTTTAAGGAGCAGGCCACCCAGTAAGGTGACTGCAATAACTCTTATCCTGCCCAGGTATGCTTAGAAGGAGAGGGGTGATGCCCTTGAAGTTTACTGCGAAATAAGTCTAAAAATATGCAAAAGGCACCTTCACACCTGCTATTGATATGCTATTTAACAGTTGTGAACTGAATATCCTGGTTTTTGAATGAAAGTCAGGTTGGAGGTGACCTTGTTTGGGGTGGAAACCTGACTTTAAAACTTGCAAATTAAGCTCTCATGCATTTAATGGCACTGAGATTTCCATCACAACTTAGTCATTGCCCACCTCATTTCCACTAAAACGCTAGGATCCTTGGCATGCAATGGTTAATTAGCCCTTTTGACATAATTAATAAAACCTATGGTTCTACGGTTCCATGCCCCTGAAAAAAGGACCCCTCTCTGCCAAATACACACAAACTGTAATACTGAATGCTGAAATTTCACATCAATGCCCCCTTGCTGCCAATTGACCATCATTGTCATCTTCCCTCCTTCTTGGCCTTGATAGTTCCCTTTTTTATTCGCACTGCCCTAAAGATGGTTGGCGCCCTTTGAAAAATGAAAATTAATTGAAAGGGTCACCTTTTTGTCGGCACTGTTTAAAGAAATGTCTGAAGGATCCAAATTTTATTGGCTTCTTAGAAGAAAATTTCGACCCCTCAATTTCGAAAACTTGCCACCCTTAGCAGGATGTGAGTGTCTGTGTGTGTGGGTTGCGGGGGGGGGGGGGGGGGGGGGGGGGGGGTTTTAAAAAGGGGGGGGGGGGGGGGGGGGGGGGGGGGGGGGGGGGGAGTGGTTATAAAATGATTTTCTCGTCTCCCTCCCAATCCCGATGCCCGCCCCCTCGGTACATATGAAACCAAGATGGTCGCCCGTACCGGAAGGTGCTCGATCTTGACGATCTTGCCCAAAAAAAGGGGACTGCATGAACATTCTTAATGTTGCTCAGCAGCCGGGGTTTATACTCAACGCGAGTGTACAACAGCCCCTAGCATCTATATTATGGGAAAACCATTTTCTCATTGTATCTTACCTACTGATGACGCCAGCCATGTGAATAACGCATGCAGTCGAATCACGTCACTGTGCACACGTCTTGGGAGCATCTTTCCAAAGTTTAACACTCCAAGAGATGCAGCAACAGCGACACAAATTAAACCCCACGCAGCGTAGAACGATTTTTCGTACACATTAATTGCTGCATAGTAAGTGCATCCAGCCAAGACAAAGTCGGATACGGCTGTTGATATAGCTCTTTCACTCATTTTGCAAGAAGAAACGACGAAGATTCGCAAACCATTACATTACTTGTCCGCCATATTGAATCGCCCGCGAAAGTAGCTGGACACCGCCTAAAAGGACGCCGCCAAAAACTGAACGCGCGCAGTCGCCTCAGTAGCTAACCGCTGGATTACCTTCTGTATTTTGGATTTGGGATTGTGTGGTTTGTTCGCTTGTACGTCGTGTTCGTAAACAAGACGTTGTGGACAAAAATATTCAGGTTTAAAAGCGAAGATGAACATTTTGCCAAAGAAGAGGTATGCAATTATATCTCACGTTTAAGGAGAAGCTTACTTTACCCAAGTTTTCATAACTGGATGTGACTTCATGAGCTTATAATTTCAAACCAAATGATATGAGTTTAATTGAAATAAGCTTAATATAAACTTAAGCTCATAAGCTTAAGCTTAAAAAAAAACTGCTTTACTTTTTCTTTCAGTTGGCATGTTCGAAACAAAGGTAATGTCGAACGTGTGAGACGTGATGAAGAGAATGCCAGAAAGGAAGAAATCGAGAGAGAAAGGAGAGTGGCCCTCGCAGTGAGTTACTAGCACTGATTCTACGTACATGTAGTTTAAACTTTATGAGAAAAGAGGTCCCCTTCAAGATTAGAGATTTGGTACTTTTAACGTTCAAGGTTTTTTACACTGTTGTGTTGTGCTTGTGAAGTGACAGCATGCAGTCGCTTGAAAAAGACGCCTTTAGAGTGTCAAAACTTGAAAGTAAAATCTTTAAATTTTCAGTATCCGGATAGATACCTCTTTTCTCACTATGTTTTTACAGTATTAGGAAGCAGAATGCCTTTACTGTAAACTGTAGGAAAGAAGGACAATCTAGGACTGTTTACTACAACTTGCAAACACAATGACTAACACATGCAATGGTTGCCTGAACACTCATTCTAAGCGTCACTCGATAAGATTGCACCTAGGAAAGTAGTCCGTTAACAAAGTTTGTGAAACTGCATAATAGTTTCTTACTTATTGGTTATGCCATGTCAATTGGCATATGTAAGTTTGTTATTTAGAAGCTTGAATCCCATTGAAGTCCTGAAATTTTTTTTGGGTCAATTTGCAATTGCTTAAATTGCAATTACCATTGCAACGATCATATCTTCATTTAAAAGAAAGTCTTTTGTCAAACAAACAGGGTCAGGGTTTCAGGAGGAACGCCACACACTCCCCCTAAAATGTATCAGGAGTACCCTGCACAAGGCAATTGGTCTTTTCCCCTTAAGATCATGTGACTAACCCGACCCAGCAATTTGCTTGTCTTCTACACCATAACTCAGTGCTTCAGCATCATTGCCAATCACAATGAATTTTGGATTGTGATCTTTTGAAGACGTGTTATCCAAATGTTATCTTGGCTGCATCTAAAGGAAGTAGCAGTACAGTGTAGTACATGCAGTGGTTAGCTTTGAGAATCTGGAATGTTTTCTTGTAGACCTCCATCAAATGATTATTCATTCTCATTAATTACACATCTTTTTTAAAGTCAAAGTCAAGCTTAGGCATTTTCATTGCGTTCTTTGTAGGAACAAGAAGCCAGAACAGCCTTGTTACGAAGCCGTGCAGCTAAGAAGCAGATCAAAGATGTTAAATCACCTGATACAACAGCACTTGTTTTAGATGCAGATGACAAACCAAAGCATATAAACTTCTTTGCTGATATCGAAGAAGGGGTGAGAAGTAACACAGCACATTGATTTTGCTTGCTCAAGGGTGAGAAGACAGGGTTGTTACTTAACAGGTTTTGTAGCCTGAAAATATCAGAGGTCTTTTTCATATTGACTAACTGGTTCATCAGTTCGGCTTTTGATTATGTTAGGGCTCAAACTGAGTCCCATCCAGTCTTTGGGTACAAGTAGATTTTTTATGCACATAGGCAAGGGTCCAGGCTTTACATCTAACTCCTTATATATACACATATCTATGTGAATTTGAATTTCTCTTGTTCCTGTGTTGTTTTGCTTATAGCTAAGACATGGCAGTAACCCTGAATATGAAGCCGAGAAAAAAGCTGAACAGGAGAAGAGAGAGAAGGCAATTGGTCTCTTAACATACCTGGGGCAGAGTGAGAGAGATTCACAAAGTATGCATTTTGTCATAATTTGTTAGTTTTATTTTTATTGCTCCTTCTGCATCATAATGGTGGAAATAATAATATTTATATCTTATTCAGTGTTAACCTACAGTAGAACCTCTTTTTATCAGACACCCTCTGGACCAAGGCAAGCGTCCCCTGAAAAGAGGTGGCGCCTGAACAGAGGTTGGGCTTGGGTTTCTTAAGAAATTAACCAAGTAATAAAAAAATCAGAATCTGCTGCAGTCATTATTTCAAGTGGCTGGATATTGTATAATCAAAAATGCCTATGGCTGCTTTTGGATTAATTAACTTAGAAATGAAAGCTGATAATGAACTTGCAATTAGTCTACTGACAGTATATTTTAAGTCTGTCAAAAAAATGAAAATATGTGTTAAGAAAAAAACAACTAAAAAAATGACCAAAAAAAGCAGTAAAAAAAAGTTTCTTATGGCCGTCGGGAGTAGAACCCTGGACCTTCAATGTGTAACGTATTGTGCCACGACAACTATTGCTGAACAGAATCATTGAATTTTTTATCGTTATCACTTTTGCCCATGAAATTCTTCTGGCGGATGGTGTTTGAAGCTGGTAGAGCCTTATTTATGAAGAATTGAAAGATATATTAGAGGAAAACAACCATGGTTTGGATGTCTCTTTAAACCACCGTGAAGTCACTTGTTGAAAGCATTGTACAGCTTGCATTTCTCTGCATTAACCTTAGGAGAATCAGTTACGATACAGCAACAGTAAACATTTCCTTTTTTACTCAACCCAAGAAACATTTCATTTCAGAATGATATTTCCCTAAAAACCATGAGATTAGAAGTCCTTTTGAGAGGAAAGTTAAGCAAGTCATGCGTGTCACAGCTTTCTAAGCCAAAGCTGTGTTGTGATTCACTTGAAATACTATCCATCCCGATTGGCTATTTAGATCGAACTTCCAGTTACGAGTGAGTGACAAATTTTTCATACAGATTCCCTACAATACTCATGGATAATCCACAAGTAAAAATCATAATTACGTAACTTATTTCTGCAATATTGTTGGTTGAGTAACCACTAGTACAGTACATTGATTTAAGTGAGATAGTTCATGTTGTTAAAGCTGTCATCATTTTGACTATTACTCTTGAATGTATCAACCCTTTTTGTGGTCAGTCATGTTAAGAGTGCTAAGGTGTGCCCTGGGTAGAAGTTAAACCGGGTTTTGGGACCCAGAAATAGTGTCTTTTTCCCTTAAATAGAGGTGTCCCTTCAACAGAGGTAGCAGATACAAAGACTATGTGAACATTTTTTTGGGACCAAATTTTGTTTCCCCTGAATGGAGGTGTCCCTTAAATAGAGGTGTCCCAAAGAAGAGATTACACTGTATTTTGGTGCTAAGAAAACACTCATGGTTTTTAGAATTAGGAAATAGTGCAAATAATTCTTAATGCATCAGTCAATTCCAGCTGCAACCTGCCCACCCCCACCCCCCGGCCTGACCCCCTGGCATTAGCATTTTTTTGCCTTGGATGGCAAATTCCTGGACCTGGGGGTGGGGCCTCTTGAACTGTCAAATCCCCCAGGGTGGGGACGAAAAAGGAGGGCAAATGCCCTCTCCTCGGTCAACACTGCAACATGATTTTAAGCATTTTAATGTGCAATTTTTTGTTTCAGTTAACGTATTCCTTTGTAATAGCGCTAGGATTCTAATTAAGACTTCACGCCACGACGACATGCACCACTATATATTTTAGTATTGACGTAAAATTATTGACATTAAAATTAATAGAGCGCTGTAAAGATGTTATGAGTGGTTTCATGAATATGAAAAGGATGTTTTTCAAATAATATCAACAGAAATTTGATTCAATAACCAAAAAACGTTGATTCACGTCGATAGCTCTCGATTTCGCTGCCTGTAATTTTGGTTTGATAAGTAATGAAGAAATGCATGCATAAAATCAAGAACATGCTTTTACAAACCTCTTTAATTTTTTCCTGTCCTTGGCAGATGAGCCAATCTGCTTTCTTTCCCAGTAAAATCCTCTGTGTAGTTATATTCAGATAGGAAACCGCTTGCGTGTCAAAAGCTCGAGAATGGCCCCGGGGCAGGACTGACACGGTGGGCAAATGCCCCGCAGTAGCCCGGGGTAAGGGGCGGGGGGGGGGGGGGGGGGGGGGCAAAATTTGATTCAATAACCAAAAAACGTTGATTCACGTCGATAGCTCTCGATTTCGCTGCCTGTAGTTTTGGTTTGATAAGTAATGAAGAAATGCATGCATAAAATCAAGAACATGCTTTTACAAACCTCTTTAATTTTTTCCTGTCCTTGACAGATGAGCCAATCTGCTTTCTTTTCCAGTAAAATCCTCTGTGTAGTTATATGCAGATAGGAAACCGCTTGCGTGTCAAAAGCTCGAGAATGGCCCCGGGGCAGGACTGACACGGTGGGCAAATGCCCCGCAGTAGCCCGGGGGAAGGGGCGGGGGGGGGGCTGGGCGCAGCTGGAATTGACTGATCCATAAATAAATGATATTCCTATTTTTGTTATTAAGTGTAACGAAAATCCCAGAGTTAAAAGGAACGCAACTGACAAGAAGAAAAATGTGTAATGCCCTTCTAGAGCTCGGCCTGTTCTCAGTTATTGTAAAAGCTTCGTAATGTCAAGTGATCGCTTAATTTTCTTGACATGTACGTGATGGAGCTTTAATCATTTTTTTGTTTCTTCGTGATATACATGTCATTTTCATCAAGGGCCAAAGAAGTATTCATGTTTGCTTTAACAGATCAGAAGCCATGGTATGTTAAATCTCACCAGGACAGAAAAGATCCAGATGGGGCAAGTGAAAGGTAAACTGTCTGAATTTCTTCCTGTGCTGGATTTACGGGCACTACACATTTCTTTCATTCGGCAGGTTAAAGGGATGATGGACTGTACTAACGAGAACCTGGTCAGTTACTCCAATATTCTTTTAGAGGCCAATACCTTAAATGCGCCACAGGCGCAACCTCGAGCTTAAAATGGCCGATCCTGATAAGTGGACCTAAGTAGAGGAACGAAACAGGGATTCATGACTGGCACTACACGGTTAATATTGTTAGAAACTTAAGGAGTTGTGGTGAATTTCCACTGTCGCGTAATTTTTACCTGCGTACGGAGGTAAATTTTACGCGCGTAAACAAAATAAAGGCAATATATAGAACGTCGCACTTAAACGTTAAAGTTTAACCGCTCAACCCTTACGTTTAGACGCAGCCTTTCATGCATTGCCTCTATTTTATTTTCACGCGTAATTTTTAGCAACAGTGGAAATCCACCCTTAGGGTGGCGTTTACGGCAATCGACGAGCGCCAACGGTGACCACGTGACAGCCTTTTCCCGCTGTTTATCACGCCTTTCTTTTGTCCTTGGCCGTTTACACAGGAGAGGTTTCACGTTCATCAGAAAAAAAAAATCGGAAAGAGAGAGAGAGAGATAAGGAGAGAGAGAAAATTACTTTGTGTAGTTCTCTTGTTCGTGTACATTAACAATCGTATCTGGATAGGCATCTCTGCCCTTAATCGTTTCCCGTTTGTCCTTGACGCGACTTTTAAGGTCTCTAGTAATGTCGTAATTGGCTTGCGTGTGTGCGTGAAAAACTGACCAAACCACAGAGGTTGTTCGATAAAGCCGTGGTCTATATCTTTCCTTGAGAACATAACTTTGTAATAAAAAACTGATTGTATCTCTTTTTACCTTCTTTGCGGGTTAGTTCCAGAGAGAAAGACAGGAAACGTATAATGGATCCTTTAAACGACGTGAAAAAATATCTTGAAGTAAAAAAGTCACACAAGAGAGACAAAGACAGCAAGCACAAAAGGAGCAAACGCACAGAAATAGAACAAGACTCTAAAAGAAAGCACAAGAAAAGTATTGAAGAAATGAGAAAAGAAAGATTAGAACGAGAGAAAGAGGAACGCGAAAGAGAGAGGAAGCTGTTAGCGTCAGTGAGGGGAGACAAGATAACTACAACAGAAACTGCTAGTTACAACGCCCCGAGCAGGTAAACAATTTGACCCCCCTCCGTCCTCACCCCCTAGTGTTTTAAGTGAAAAAACACTACCCCTTCGACGCCTCAACGTCAAAATGCTTCAACCAAAATGTTGCCGGTTTTTTAAGAATTTCTCCCTGGCATCGGGTATTTTGAGGGCCTTCTTTAAATACAGAAAGCTTCAATTCTTCATTTAAAAAATTTATTTGGAGTTATTTTAATAAATTTATTTTTATTGATTAATTGACTGTTCATTGTCCCTTATATTTCTGCAAGATCGATGAGGTTAATCGCTTAACCCTATCGAGACCCTGCTTTTTGGGTTGCGATTTTCACGCGCGTTCACATATTCCGAACTACTCTTGTCTTGGTCTAAAACAATAGGCCCATCCGCACGAAGCTGCAAGAATCTTACAATTCCTCAACGTTATAGAATATTTACGATCCAGTGCATTACTTATGATAAGTAAGATTCTGTAAAAAGAAGAAGTCTGGAAGGAAAAAGTTCCCGTGTATTTTTCAGTCTAAATTGCTGTTTTTATTTGTTGCAGGTATAATTCTCAATACAATCCAGAGTTTGTAAGGAGGCCCAGGAATGACTTGAGATACCGGCCATATTAGTTTCCAGTGTCAGTTAGAGCATGTTCGGCAGTCCGGCAACTGACAAAGAAATCCTCCGAGTGGAGTCGAGTACAGTGAACGAGTTCTTTTGGTATCCTTGTTCCGATTGGACAGCCAAGTGTTCTCAAAAGCATCCGAAGATAGTGTGCTCCGTGGAGTGAGCACGCGGTGACTAGCGAACTGCCGCTTATACCTCTGAAGAGAGCCTACTACGACGAACGGGTCTCCTAAGGAGTAATGATTGTTTTTTCGGTACTGTAAAGGCTCGTTAAACCGACTGTCATCGAATAAATGACTGGGTTTCTTGAAAGATAACGCTTGGAAACTGTAAGGGATGCTTGTGTTGCATAGATTCCAGCTTCAGTTGTCAGTGCTTCTGCCAAGGTCGGACAATTTAGCAATTGTCGATCTAGTGGAGTCAGGATTAATATAACCATTTCCATTTCATCACGAAATAAAAACAAACCCACCCTTACGACGGCTTTAACAAAATGAAGGCTTTGGATTCAAGGAACCCAAAGAGCATCGTCACAATACATACTGGTAAATGGTATCATACATACCGGTAAACGAGTTTCTCTTCTTGAGGCAACTGCTAAGAGGAGACCGTAGGGCCTGGTTATGAAGCTAATCCCTCTTAATAGAAGTGTGAAAGTTCTTGGTGTTCATTAATGCCTTATATAAGGAATTCCAAATCCTACGAGTTGCTCATAAAGTAAAGTAAAGTAAACTAAAACTTTATTTACACAAGGTGGCCCATTCAGCTCTAAGGCTGGTCTCCATAAGGGCCTTGTATCTGAAAAATTAATTTACATCATGAAGAATTTTCATGAACTACTACATTTTTTAAAGCCTAATAAAAAAATACAATAATAAAATTTAAGAACTACATTAAAAAGCCTAAAAATACAATGCAAAATCACTTTTAAAGCCTAAAATATAATAAAATATCAAAGGTATGATAAAAAGAAATGTCTTGCTCAGCGGCAGAACGTTTGAAAGTTTTCACTCTTCACAATTTTTAAAGGGAGTTTGTTAAAAATTTTTGCGCCAGTAAATAGAAAGGTCCTTTTCCCAAAATTCTGTTTAACGTTCGGTAGGGATAGCCTCATACTTTGCCTAGTGGAATAAATGTGTTAGTAAAATATAATGAAAAATAACGAGGAACTAATGAGTGAAGACAGAGAAAAACCAGTTTAGCCTTGTGGTAAGAGCGTCTGCTGGAAAGAGTCGGCCAGTGCAGCTGCTCTATTACTTCAGATGAGCGAGAGCAACGTGTGATAATCCGCGCGGATCTATTCTGTAGGCGCTGTAGTCGATCTATATCTTGCTGTAGAAGATTACTCCAGGCAATGTCACAGTAATAAAATAATGGAAGAATTAAAGCGTAGTGAACAAGTGTTGCTGCCTCTTTTGTGACGAAACTAACTCTTGACGCCACCTTTTTACACACATAGTCCGCGTGAGCCTTCTAAGCCATAAAGTTGTCGAACACCACGCCTAGGTATTTAAAAGAAGTTTTGCAAGATATGGACTTTCCGGGAAGATTTTAATCTTAAAAGATTTAAAATGCAATCGCGCTCTTTATGCCTTTGAGATGTAAATGGTACACACTTAGTTTTTGAAACTTTGAGAACAAGATTATTGTCCTCAAGCCATTCAGATAAACACTGAAGATCTTGGTTAATGTGAAAAATTAAATTGTGTACAGTTGGACCAGCAAGATATAAAACTGTGTCGTCAGCGTACATATTTACAGAACAATGTTTTACAAAGAGTTCTTTGAATACAAAACCTTTGGATCAATTGAGGTTTCTGGGTATCAAACTGAACACCTACCCCTCCCCTAAGTCAACATTAACACTTACGTCTCACTTAGGGTAAAACTGTGACCTAGGGGAGGGGTAGGTGGGCAGTTGCCCAGATTACATCCTTGTCACCAGGGTCTTTCCTATAGTTAAAGTGGCCCCAGGGACGAAGTTGCTTCTCTTCTTGGTAGGATGCAATTTTAAAAAGTAAATAAACGAATAATGACTCATATATATCAAAAGGAGATAATTTTATTCCACACAATAAGTTAATTTGTGAATAAAAAGTTAAATCATTAATTTAATGAAAGCTGTTAAGCACTGGATTAGTTTTGAATGGTGCCGTCTATTACATATCACAAAAGTATGAAATGATTATGAACCTCTTCTGCAATGGCGGTTTGCAAAACAGAATTCCCCCGGGTATGTGTAACGGCCATATTGATTTTTTTAAACAAAATAACGATTTTATAAGATGAGCTGGGATGAAACAGTATTTGACCCACCCACTTGATCGCACACACTGCTCTCACCAACGGTTCTCTGCTATCGGACCGAGTAGTAGCGAGAATACAAAGGAAAATGGAGGACCTGATCCTCTATGATAATAATATATTCTTAAAAAAATTACAAAGTCTGGTAAAAAGATATTCAAAAAATACATATCTTAAAAAGTTTAAATTACTTAATCGCTACATGGTCACAAACTACAATCTGCTGAAATACCGTCGATTTCGTCGAAAGCGCAAAAAAATGAAGATACATAAAATGACAGACAGCACTAAACATGCAAATAAATAAGGAGAACTCTGTGCCTTCTGAAGTGTCTTGGAAAGAACTGAAAATAAAAGGAGATCAATGAACAAAATAGGCCATGATTAATATTAAGCTTTGACTTGGGACTACTTGTAGTCCATCGCTTCCCTCGGGGGTAGGGGTAAGATATCTCTGCGTTTCGCCTAAACTACGAGCAGGCTCTCTTTTCCTTAGTCCGTCGAGCGAAACGCGCGAGGCGCGAAAATGACCACGCTCGCGCGAGTACCCCCCTCACTAAATCTGAAGAAAAAGACACACTGCTCGCAGTCTACGTTTCGCCTCTTCTGGCGTTTTCGCTCGCTCTACTTTCTCTGACAAAAATTAGGGACTATTTAAGATTAACTAGAAATGTGCTTATCCTGATTGGCAAAGGCCTGATATTAGATTGTCCCTGATGGCTCAGGTTCATTCCATCTATGTCCCCCCTCCTTATCCCCCAGTTAATTTTTCATTTTGACAACTGCAAATGCACCACGGTGAGACGAATTGGCACGGGTCCAGGTATTGACTGGGCTATAGAACTATTAAATTAATCCCGACTTTTTAAATCCCCAAATTTCTTCTCAATTAAGCTAAGTCCTTTAACCCCCAGGCAGAGCCTTGATGACAAATGTCCCACCCTGGAACGCGCTAGCCTCCTCTATAGGCATCTTAATCCGGGTTAGAAAGGAAGAAGAGAAGGGCAGAGATGGCAACTCCTCTGAATTCCTCTAACTTTTGTTCGTCCTTTCTCGTGTCCATTCCTCTGCGCTAGTTGCTTTTGGATGAGGCTTGGAGCGCACAATTTGACAAGACTGAGACTAACAATAAGTGGCAACGTACCAGATTTGTTGGGATCCACGACTGATGAACCAACGCCGCTGATACTCCTTACTCTGTGATTGTACTATGAAAAAAACAAACGAGGAGCACGAATTCATAGAGGGAAGATCCACATGCTGTTTGCTCAATGCTAGGACCAAATATTAGAACATTTGCTCCCTTTCCTGTTTCTACCTAGAGACGTTTCAATTTTCGTAAGATCACGGCATTTCTCAAGTGACTATATTTTTATACGGCCTTGTCAAACTGCGAAAATTTATGAAGTTCCACTGCACAGTTTAGAGAATAAATATATCTGCCACCTGCATTGCGCATTTTTGCGAAACGAAATCTTCGGGGATAATAATATATCTAAAAAAGGCCTATGATTTCCAAGTTTCAAAAACCCTCACTTTCAAAGCTAGGCCTAGAGTAAAATCTTTCTTAAGAAAAATGAGTTTTTCCTTGCAAGCAGAGGCCTCTTTTCCCACCAGGGAAAAGAGGCCTCTGCTGTAGCTAGAAGGGAAAATGAAACTTGTTTTCCTATCAAAGTCTTTGCACTTAGCCTCGTTTTGGAATAGAGACTTGTGGCTATTCGGAAATGGCCCATCGTGAGCGGCATATAATATCACCTGATCTGTGACGTAAATGACTTTGTTCCTGTGGTCAAACGTCAGTCCAGTGGGATGAAAAAACTGGGCTTGAGTACCTACTCCGTCACGGAAGCCCTCAGTACCGCCAGCCAGCGTGCTGACTTTACCTGTAGATAAACAAACACGTGATGTTCAGATTCTCCGCCAAATAAATAACAGCTAAGATTGAAAACCAGTTGAGCAAAGATTTAATGTCACAGACCGTTTGGAGTAACCATCCTGATGGCGTTGCTATCCTAAAGCATAAAATAGAAAACACAGAAAAGTAAAAGGGTAAATTTGCTTTCACGGGACTCCTTATGGCTGACAAACTTTTGAAACATGTTTAAATATGAAAAGGAGATTTTAACACAGTCTATCTTATACCAGGGGGAGTGAAATGGTAGATTATTTGCAGATGCTCCTATGTTAAGTTTAAAGTCAATGTTTTGCACTCTCTCTAATTCAGCCTGAATGCGCATGCTCTGATATGAAAGGGGCAATGGACATTTAACAATGGACATTAACAATGGACACGTTTTGGTCTTAGCTGGTGATCGAACAACCCCTGCACGTGTTAGTTGCGGATCCAGACCGTCAGATAAGGGGGAGGCCCGGTCATCCATATCTTGAGATAAAGGGAGAGCCCGGTATGAAATTTCCTTTTTTCGGCCCTTCGGGCCTCAGTTTGGTCTAAAAATAAGGGGGAGCCCGGCACCCCCTTCCCCTGGATCTGCCACTGGATCTGCGTGTACATCACTCAGTGGAGGGTGTGAGGAAGTCAGGTGGTCGATATTCCAGTCCAATTTAAACACGTGGTCGCACTCGACCTATATCGCGGCACAGGATTTTGAACTTGTTCGTGAACTGTTACCAAGGAACTCACAAATTCGACAACATAAAGGACTTTGTGATCGGTGTCAAAATAAATTCCTTCAGGATAATTGAATCTTGCATCTGACCCTACGCCGTTCTTGAAACCTTGCCGACCATTCCCTGCTAGTGTCTTTACTCGACCTGAAAACACAATATTACTTATTAAATAAGGTAAAAAATGATGTAACAGACCATACTTGTTGGGAACTTGACTGAACTAGCGTGCCGTCAAGATAAAACGCGCCGCGAAAAGAACTTCCCACATAAGTTTGATTGCAATTAAGGTCTGTTCTTGGCAAATCTTTAAGGTTATTAACATAATCCATAAGTCTTCGTTCACTAAAATTTGCCTTCTTTATTGATCAGTCATAGTCATTTAAGTTCCTGGTTTGACAAGAATTAAAAAATAAAAAAACGTACCGTTCTTTGTATCAACAGTCCGTATCGCGTGGTTATACTGTGGAGAGAACAACAAACAATGGCTAAGGCTGGCTGCTTTTGTTTGACATTTTTCAAAAAACGTATATTAAAAAGAGAAATACACGGTTAAGCAATACTATCGCAATGAAATACTCGGCGGACCCTTTTAAAGTTGTTCAAAACACTTACAGGACGTCTTATTTAGTTTAAAAATCTAGCGTTTCGCGCGAATTGTTCCTTAGATCAACACTACTGTGCGTGTTTTAAACATCACATAAATCTTTGATCGGGGACTAAGGGCTGAGAAGGTGAGAGTATCCAGTGTTTTCTCATATCATCGATTTGTTCTTGTAATTTCCCTCTCTTTCTGTAACTTCGCAGGTCTTTGTACTCATCTTCAAACTGCAATTAGAGTTTTATTCAACTAGAAACAAAAATAGAGAACAATGTAAACGACTACTGAATCGTTGCTTTTTATGCAAACAACCGTGGAACATAAACTATCTATTGAGAAGACCATAATATCCAATTTTATTCCCAGGGTCCTCTCCTACTCGCTGCAGGGGACGAGTAGGAGAAGACTCTGGGAGCGAATACTATCCTCACATGATCGGCCACGTATAATATCCCAGAATGCACATCAAGAGACAGTCCAGTTGGGTGGTACAATTTTGCCTTTTTTCCGACACCATCAGCGAACCCTTGACGTCCGCCAACCAATGTTTTTACTTCTCCTGTCAGCAGAACAATTGATATAATTCACATTGTGCTTATTATTTTTTCTTAGTTTTCAATCTTCTTAAAGAAATCCACCGATCCAACAAGCGTTGTCGCTTTAATCTTTTGTCGTATGCCGAGATGCAAATATTTTTTACTTCTTGAAAGGACTGTCCGCAAGGTCACCATTTTGGTAGCACAAAACAAAACAAAACAAAAGTATCATCACATTCAATCACACGTTAATATTCGACAATTAGGCATGATAGGAGCGGGATTGGCAGGTCGGCTGATTCCTGCCACATATTGATGGCACGTTATTTCTTTGCTACTTACGACCTTAAGGTAGCAGCTTAATCATCTGCAACGGAGCTGATAGTCTTAGGATTATCTTTGCCCGGACTCCATGTTAAGGTTTCGTCCAAAATGGGTATAAATAAAGGTCTTATACAAGAAAAAAATTATCTCTTGCTTAGGCCATCCCCTTTTTTTCCTTCGTTTACCATCGAATGCGTTTCCTGATATTGGGTCGGTCAGTGCGATTGAAAAAAAAAAAAGCTACAAAAAATAACAAGAAGTCTCGGAATAGTAGGCCCTGGTACCCCAGGACGACGTTAAAAGTTAACATTCACATATTTGGATTAACAAAATGTACAATATACTGTGAAAAATGTTGTTCATGTTTTTGTTGCTGTTTTTCTCTGTGCTGTTACTATGCTCATTTTTCAGATTAAAAGAATTATTTCAAGTGAAAAATGGTGTAACTACGTCGTTACTTTTTTTTTTTTGAAAATGCCAAAAATTTGGGTCGGTCGGACGACAGTAAACGGAGAAAGAAAAGAGGATGGCCTTAAAATAATCGTTGCAATCAGCCACATGTTCAATGTGTGATTCAGTCAATCTGCCTATCAGTCAGTCACAGCCGTACGATTAGCTAATTAACCAAGCACTGATGGACTCACTTTCTTAGTCACCTGATCCTCTAAGCAGCCAGATCACTAGTCTTTTAAACAGTTATTTAAGCTTATTTATCATTCACAGTCACAGCCATTTGATCTCGGTGTTACACATTCCCTTGGCGGACTTATTCATTTAGTTAGTCAGTTGGTATAGACGACAAATTAATTAACGCAAAGAAACACCCTTTGGTAGTTGTAGTTGTTGAACTTACCGTTTGGTAGTGAGATAATCCTTATGGCATGATTGTCCTGGAAAAAGACCTTCCGTTATTAGAAAAACCGTAAGCTATACTGACGTGAGATGCATTTTTTTTGCTTCCATTTTAGCAAAATTATGGATTACAAAAGATACACTAGATTGGTACGTTCCTTTTAAAGTGAAGGACTAAGATAGGAAAAAGTGAATTAAAGTTTTGTATTACTGTTCTCAAAATCCTAACAATCACTGGCACCCAACGACAGAATAGCCTTGCCTTCCACGCAGACGTTCACACGCGTGGCGAAGCCCGTAAGAAAGTCTGAGTGGGAGGCTAAGAGAATGCCGGACCCCCTACGAAGGTAAATTGGAACAATGTACAAATGTGCAAGTGAAGCAGACTAGGTATTCTTAACCCTTGTGTAGCACAGTCGGGTTAATTAAGTCCAGACAACTCCTGTAAAGGCCAGCATAGTAAGTATAACATGCTTAGGGCGTGTGAACGCTCTGTATTACTAAAGAACGGACCACCAACTAACTTTAAACAAGAATACCCCAACTGACCTGTCGTATTGAGCGCAAAGGCTTGCGGGTTAAAACTGCGATTGGCCATTTTGAGTTTGCGCAAGCCAGTGGGACGATGTTGTGTCTAATTGCACCATGAGAATGTTTCATAGGACGCTATCGCTTTTTTATTGCCTATTACAAAGTTGCACAGGAAACTCCAGTGGGTCAAAATTTGACTCTCGACTCTTTCCCATAGTGCTGTTCTACACTACACAGGTCAACCCAGTCTTTCTCGCAACCTCCACATGGCTAATTATAGATACATAACTATACCTTATACAGAGCCTAGTAGTGTATGACGTGTTCACAGTTAGCAAACATACCGTGTCACTTAGGAACAGCCTCCGTTTTAAGCTTTCAATCTCAAGTTGCTGGGGATTGGACAGCATGGCTTTCATTCCTACATCATCATGGAATCCAGACTCCCCACTGCCCACAAACGAGGTTACGACGGCTGCAAAAATCACACTACGTTTTCACAGTCTCTCGGGTCACCACAGTTTTAAAGTGGTGATTAAAGATTAAAGAAGCTGTAACTTCATTGGGACATTTTATGTTCTGAGCTGAAAGCATTTGCAATACTATTAAAGACAAAAAAAAGTTATCAAAACAGACCTGTCTTAAGATCAATTTTCCTTATGCGGTCATTACCCTGCAAAATGTAAATGAAAATAAACTGCATAAGACAACTAAAACCGAAGGTCACCTAAACTGGAACTCACTAGACTACAAAACTGGCGTTATCTTTTCTCGTTTTTCGGGCGAACGAAGCACCAAGGGGGCGTGGAGCGCGACACACGTGCGAGGATAGGCGCCTTCCCTTGTTGCGCGTGTTTGGCGCTCTTCGCTCGGTTTGCGCTTGCCTTTGCTCGCCTGAAAACGCGAAAACAATAACGCCTGTTTTGCAGGTGAGGGGCTCACATACAAAGTTAACTTACACTATCAGCCACATACAACACTCTCTCCTCTAGATCAATGGCCATTCCTGTTTGACAATAATGATACAAATTACGTCGAATACTTCATATTGAACGTGCAAAAAATTTTCAGTAAAGAGGGTATACATGTTTCTACTACATTACTGATGTGTGCAAATGTAAATTCAAAACGTTCTTTCCTTTTACTGAATAAAATGGTAACTTCGTGTGAACATTTTTTTTCAGACAGTGCCTAAGACAGAAAAAAAAGATAAAAGGACGTCTTTTGTTTCTACGATGATCTCATTTCTACCATTTCCTCCCTCTCCTTCTTTTTTGATACACTTCACCTTTCTCCGGTATTCCTCGACCTTTTCTAGTATAACCTGATTAGCAGACGCTGGGTTTTTTAGGGCGAAAAGGAAACCGGCGCCTACCATGCAGGTTATTTTCTAGTACAGCTTTTGTTCAAAGCCTGTTGCTTTGGCTTTAAAGTATCAAACCGACCAACAGTTGGAAAGACGCCACAAAAATCGTGTACACGAATAACGATATCAGAGACATAAAGAGAGCTAAAAGTATACCTCAATCACAAAAGATAAAGTCAGTTTGAAGTTCCACTTACAAACTACCGTATTTACTCGACTAAGCGCCGCCCTCGATTAAGCGCCGCAGTATTGATGCAAGTCGATTCAGTTGAGGCACAAATAGTACTGAATAGTTGTCTTATAGAAAGAGGAGTATTCACGCCATTTGTTTTTCTTGTTCACGCGCTAACTGTAACTTAAGTGTAAAAAATTGTTGTGCAGTTTTTCTCACACTGTTTCAGCTTGTATTTAAACAACCAGTTTCCTTACCTGCTGTGTGGTGAAACTTTGCTTTTTCCCCTTTTCCATCTTTGTAACCTTGAGAACCACCTGCTAAAGTAGTTACCTGACCTACAAAGCAAACAGGATAACAGTAGTACAGTGTGGGAGCAATAGATTAATTAATGACTTGTTCCTCAGTTTCTTCAGGGACAGTTGAAAGAGTGAAATAAGTGAGGTCGAGTGAAAACTGGCACGTGCAAGTGGAGGCACGAAGCAGAGGAAGGATAGAAAATATTTCTCCTTTCCCTGAGCATGTCACCTTCCTCGCTGGTGTGCATTTTAAGATGCACTCGCATACCATAAACTTCCTCTTTAAAGACCCCCCCCGCCCCCCACCCAGTTATAGCCCTATCTACCTGTAAACAAAAAATTTATCTGGTTATAAGCCCCCCTCTAACTAGCACTAAAATGAATTCGATTTTTTACAATGTTTTGAAGATTAAAAAGGCAAGTGATTTCAAAAATTGTATATTGATATTTAGTGCGGATATAAGCCCTCCATTTGATATGACCACCTAAAACCCATTATGAAGTTGTATAAGCCCATGCAGGGCTTGTAAGTGAAAGTTTACGGTATTTTATTCCCTCTACTATTGCTTGAGAAAAATTAGGGACTACTTGTAGTCTAGGAATAAATGCATAAGGAATAATATTGAATATATATATAAAAAAAGGTGTGCATCAAGCAAATCTAACAGTAGATCTTGTTTTCCCAATGTAACATTAAGAATTTAGATTAGTAGAAGATCCAAAAAGGAGAAGGTATTTACCATTCACAAAGGGGCATGGTTTATTGGCGATGCATGGGGCATCAATCTTACTGACTGTTTAATACTGGGTCAACAAGGTAGAGGTGAGGTAGTATTTGATGAGTGCATGACATGATAAAGAAACTGGCCTTTAAAAAAATGGAATGAACTCAGTATACTCACGAGTACTAATGTCAATCTTCCTTATACGGTCATTACTGTGGACTGTTTCAGGACATCCCTTTTAAAACAGAGGACAAACAAAATCTGAGATTCAATTAATTTTTTTACGATTTACAATGAGCTCTCCTTATATTTCACGAGCATTTTCAGTCCTGGTTTCCATGACTATTCAGGCTTTCCATGACCTGCAAGTACCTTAACCCATTCGCTCCTAGAGATTTTGCCGAAAAACGCGTTTTGAAGCTAGTCGAGTGGTTTTCTGGTCACTGTCGTGCTATAAAGAGCTAAAACTTACTTTCTCGACGATGTGCCTTTTAAGATGCACTCGCATACCATAAACCTCCTCTTTAAAGACCCCCCACCCCCCACACACACTCCCACTTATAGCCCTATCTACCTGTAAACAAAAAATTCATCTGGCTATAAGCCCCCCTCTAACTAGTACTGAAATGAATTCGATTTTTAATAACGTTTTGAAGATTAAAAAGGCGAGTGATTTCAAAAATTTTATGTTGATATTTAGTGCGGATATAAGCCCCCCATTTATATGACCACCTAAAACCCCCTTATAAGTTAAAGTTTACGGTATTTTATTCCCTATACTCTTGCTTGAGAAAAATTAGGGACTACTTGTAGTCTAGGAATAAATGCATAAGGAATATTGAATATATATAAAAAAGGTGTGCATCAAGCAAATCCAACAGTAGATCTTGTTTTCCCAATGTAACATTAAGAATTTAGATTAGTAGAAGATCCGAAAAGGAGAAGGTATTTACCATTCACAAAGGGGCATGGTTTATTGGCGATGCATGGGGCATCAATCTTACTGACTGTTTAATACTGGGTCAACAATGTAGAGGTGAGGTAGCATTAGATGAGTGCATGACATGATAAAGAACTGGCCTTTAAAAAAATGGAATGAACTCGGTATACTCACGAGTACTAATGTCAATCTTCCTTATACGGTCATTACTGTGGACTGTTTCAGGACATCCCTTTTAAAACAGAGGACAAACAAAATCTGAGATCCAATTAATTTTTTTACGATTTACAATGAGCTCTCCTTATATTTCACGAGCATTTTCAGTCCTGGTTCCATGACTATTCAGGCTTTCCATGACATGCAAGTACCTTAATGAGATTACATGTACTTCAAACAGGCAGCATTTCAAAAGAATATATGCCACAAAAAACTTACACAGTCTGCAACATACAACACATTTTCTCTAGGGTCAAATTCAATACCCCAGGGGTAATTGAACCGGGCTTCTGTTCCTATTCCATCCATCATAGATGATGAGTAATCCTTACAGTCTGTCTTGCTGCCTTCATGAATCCTTCCACCCCCAGCCAAAGTGCTTACTACTCCTACAATAACAGAAAAGAGAAACACATGACCTCCCTGAAGGTCATTCCTATGAAATAAAACCTGCAGTGAGATTTTTGTCAAATTTTACCTGTTGGTTGTTTATTTTATTATAGAAACTTAAGTTTTATAAAAAAAATTGGGGGGGGGGTCCTGAAACTTGTTTAGGAGCAGTACCAACTTGTATATATGCAAAAATTCCTTAAAATACCAGTAAGATTATATTTACGAGTACATGCTGACAATTGTTTCTTTTTCTGCACTGAGAATTGGTCTATATTTATCCTAGAGAAAGATAGTTACTACTTGAATTTTGAAAGAAGAGAAAAAAAGGATAGGTCACCATTCCCCATTAAAGAGAAAATGACGATTTACCTCAATGGAGAGCGCCAGCCATGAGGCAATAGCCACCATGTTTTAATTCGCATAGTTTACCTTAATCATACATGAAATTATGTGCAGTAATGATGCACAATGCAATACTAAGGAAAAACCTTAAATGACTGAATGAGGGTCAATTTTGTGCGCTCAAGGAAGTGCCACAGAAAATTTGAGCCCCTCGTTTACAAAATGTTATTCATCAAAGAACTTAGGCTAACCCTTACACTCAGAGTGACTCCATCAGTGCTAGCCTCTTTGTTTAACTTGTAACATATTTTATATGTTACTTTTCTTGTTAATGAACTATTGTTTTTCTTATATTTATAGAACATCATACTGTATTTTTTTACTTGATAATGATGTCTGAGAACCTCAAATATTATTTAACTATTTGTAAAAAAATTTTTAAGAAAAAAAATGTTTTTTTAAATCGTTTATAAGCAATTTTTTATAGCTAAATGTTTTAACAAGTCGCTTCTTTTAAAAAACCTTGAAAGGAGAGAAAACACACCACATGACCTCAAAAGAAACGAGTCCGGGAACAACTGTACCCCTGGCCCAACTTCCATAAAAGATGACTGCGATCACAATACAGACAAATTGCCAAATCCTAAAGGATATACTCCATTGACATAGTCAGGGAAAGTCCGTCCAGGAGAAGGGGAAGGGTGCTCTCAAGGTAGGTCTCAAAACAAGTCTCATCTGGTAGTTTGGCACAAGTACTTAGACATTCCTTCTGGAATGATAATTTTCATACTGAAAGGCCAAATGAGAAAGGGCCCATGCAAGTTGTCTTCTCACAAAAAAAGTTTCCATCTGTTGCTCACAAATATGCCCCATGGCCCCTTCCCTTGATATGGCCTGTAGTGGACTATGCAGGAAGGATCTGCCCGAAAGTCATACCTAGGTTACTAGTAAGAAGTACATAATTATAAGAGTAGGAAGTTCATGAGTTAAGGTACAGAATAAGTAAGGAAACTGCAATTTAGGCATTTAAAAAGAACCTTAATTATAAAGTACCCTCGAGAAAAGAGAAAAGTGAGTTAATTAATGTTATCAATGACTTTGCAGGGGTAAACTTCTGTAGTTGATGAAAGGTGCTCTTTTTTTTCTAAATACTGACAAGTTTTAGAACGATGATTGGTACAAAATTTGTGATAAAACTAAAATATGCAAATTAACTAGGAAAAAAATTCCCCTAATAAGCTCCAGTAGCTCATAAATGTAGCCCAATAACTTGTTATTGGTTTAGAAATTACAGTTGACATTACTACCCAAGGTTAAGTAAATTCTAGATTATGAGCAGACCCTCATTTTCCTCAGAGAGACTTAAGTGAGCAAAATTCACTAGCGCATGTGAAAAACACCACTCACAAGGAAGGCAACAGGCATGTAACCAAACATAGCATTTTACAACATTTCCATTGTAGGAGACCCGGGGGTAGTCAGTAGAATGCAGCACTTGAGGTCCTACTTTTACTCAAGACTGCTGACAATTTAAGACTTGGTTAAGATTTTTGTAAGACTTCTACATGGCCCCATATGTTTTAGTCTGGGTCACAGATGTAATAGCCTCCAAGCAGATGTTCTTAGGCATTCGTCACGCAATCATTCCTCCCAACACGTTAGTGGGATTGTGTGACGAATGCCTAAAAATGTGTGCGTGGGAGGCTACAGATGTAATAAAACCTTGCATGGTTAGTAACGCCTGCGAGGCAGAGCTAAAATCCTTGTTCTTGGCCCTCGATGGATTCAACCAATTACCAGAAGTGTGTTTCAAATTTCCTTTCATCCTGATTAGCAAATCAACAATGGCTTTTTTAAAAAGCCAGTCATAGTGCATACTCAAATCCTGGTACACAGGAAAGGGACCAGAACAAGGGTTTTGCTTACCAATATTTTTCAACACTCAACAATTTTGGATAGACCAGATGGACCAATACAATAAAGTGCTAACCTGCACAATTCATTGCGCGTGCATATTGATCTTGAAATATCCAAGCTAAAATTTAAGGAAGTTCCTTCCCTTGTTACGCTCATAATAAACATTTAGAGTTTACTCAACAGTCATAAAACCTGAAACCGTATCTTAATTCTTGCATAGTTGCATGTGCTCTACATTTCAACACCCCACGCAAACCAGCAGTGCTAGAAAGCCAAACCATTGCCGGATCAATTTGGCAAAAGACAAACTATTAAAAACCCATCAAAAGTACAAACTTAAAATTCATTTATTTACATGTATGTAATCAGGTTCTTGTTTACTACTTACCTAAGTCCTGCGCCAAACTTCTCGTCGCTACGAGAACGATAAGAAGTCCGAGTTGTTTCGGGAACGCCATGTTTTGTTTCCCCTGAGAATAAGCTGCTCTCTTTCATGTTCGTTTTTCATGTGGCTTTACCTTGCGTCTTCCGTCATACGTTGCGTGACATTCAACCCAGTTTAAGTAGAACCCAGTCTCCGTCGCGGTTATGAAAATTATCTGTGAATATACGTGACGTTTACCTTCAGCTGCTCGGAGGGAAGCGACAAATTCAGCCTAAACAATGTCCTAAATGCTTGCTGCAAGCAAACAGCATTTTCTATCCTGGACCTCAACCTCAAAGAAGTTAAAAACATCTCAGCATGGAGGGAAATCATATCATAGTCGATGCCCAGATGGTGAGCACGAATCCCGAATGTTTCCTTCAGTTCGTATAGCTAGTTTGTTAGAGGTAGTAGAGGCAAAGCCTTTATTTTCTGAGAGTTAACGGTATATCACCTAATTGTTTTTCTTTCTTTAGTTTCCCAGACTTAAATAACTTGAATTTTTGCAAAATGGTCTGATTTTGTTCACCACTGCTAACTGTCACGCAATCCGGCTGATGTGTGTTACAACGAGTCCTTTCGAAAGCTTGTTTTTACCGATCGAAAACGGGAAAAACTAAAATACTACTAATTTAGTATCATCAATCCACGACTAGAATAATCAGAATTAAGCCTAAAATACGTAGCCTGCGATAAATTTATACCGGGGGAGTGCTCTTTTTCGGCGGCGAACCCGGAAGCCGCGAGAAGTTGGGAACAAGTCAAATTGAAATCCCTCGCGAACGCACATAACAATCCCACCAGCTAAGCAGGCTAGAAAGTACCTCAAGGAAACCACAGTGTATAACGTGACTTACAGACAAGACCAAGCTGGATTCATGACCCCTGCGCGAGTCACGTCGGAGACAATTTTCACCCGTCCTCGCGTATTCCGCCCTTGTCGCTCGCTTTACTCTCCCCCTGAGGAAAATGGGGCGACTACACGTAGTCCAGTCCTTAGTCTCTTGTTAATTATTCAGATTAAAAAAGGATTAGATCAAATTCCCTCTTGAGCTCTTCTGGCTACTGGTACGACTGGTTCGGTGGTGCAAGTTCTGGAAGTAGATCCCCTGTGAGGTGACTCGAGAAAGACCGTTTGACAGGTGCAATTTTGAATGCGGCCAGGAGCCGACACCCTACTTCTTGCTGCCAGACTTCTTCTGGTAGAGGTGCTTGTGCCAAACATTGTTAGATGTGTGTAAACCAAACTGATTGCATTCCAAGGCTGGCACCAAGATGTGTAGGTGAATTTGAAAAGACATTTTATTGATTAGAGATTTTTGAGGGATTCCCCCTACCCATTTCCCCTTGCTAGCGCCGTTGCCAAGATATTTTGCAGTGGATGTAAAAACGAAAAAATACTAACTGCCCTATTCCTACCTGCATGAAATCGAAGCAGATGTCGCTTTTACATGTAAAAGTACGCATTTTTAGAGGCATTACAGTCGAATCTTCACGTGCGACCACCTCCCTTAAGCGACCGGGACCACTATCTCGGCTGACAGTTGTACAATTTTCTATTGTTTTCAACCTCCGGTACGCGACCACTTGACACATGGTCTTGCTCAACAGTGAAGTACATTGTAAAAATAGGCAAAATGAAATTTATTCTTTGGCTGTCATTATTGTCTACACATCTATTACTGTGTTTATTAGTTCGATCTATAACTACAATATTAAACGTAACCCTTGAGAAAAAGATTTAGATTTCCAGTTTTCAGTTTAAGAAGTTAAGTTTTTGTTCTTCAGACGTTTTAGGGACAAGAAGTCATGTACATTAGGAAAATATTTTAACCACAATTTATAATGCGCGTTATCTAATTATTTTATAAGTGCACTTTCGTTAATGAACTGTCACATAGAATAGCTAATGATGTTGTCAATAAAACTACCAGCAATTGCCAGGGGAAAGCAAACTTTCATTATTTTTTAGAATAAATATACCACTAGGGTTGCCTAAAAAATTTCGCCTTTGCGGTCCGACTCTTGTAAGCGTCCACCTCCCGTCAGCGACCACCAATTCTTTGCATTTTGGATGCTGTTGCTTATGGGAGGTTCGGTCGACTGTATTGAGAGTCCAAGACTCGGGACGCTTCAGGTATTAGTAAACAGTTCATCGAGTTAGAAATGATCAACATCCTAGTGGTTTATTTTTTTCAAATTTTCTCTTCAGATGACTTTACGGTCATTAGCTTTCCAGGCCGCTACGGCTACAAGCTGCCGCAGTAGACTGAGCCTACTACACGCCGCCTGTATAGAAGGTGATTTAGAAACAGTCCAAATAATCACAAGCTACAGCCCAGGGAAACTCGACAACGCCATTGCAATATCCATTGTTACTGAAAGCTATGCACTATGTGCAGGTCAAAGTGCGTTGGAAATTTCTGCTAAATCCCAAGGCAGCCAACACCAAAAGATTTACAATCTCCTGCAAAGTATGTTTCAGGAATTTCAATCCAGGTCATTATTGTTAATCGCGGCTAGAAGAGGCAAATTGGAGCATGTCAAGCGACTTCTTGACCTAGGCTATGACCCAAATGAAGAGTCAACTGACGCTAGCAAGATCACACCACTAATGCTGGCAGTTGCTCGTAATACACCAATTTTCGCTGAAGTTCTCATCAATAAAGGAGCTAATGCAAACGCTAAAGATGAAAACGAAATGACAGCGCTTCATTACGCGGCTTTAAATGGACGAACGCGAACTGTGTTGCTGTTAATAGAGGCTGGGTCTAACGTGAGTGACGTCACTGACAGAGGAATGACCCCGTTGCATTTCGCCTCACAGCACGGTCACACAAAGACAGCGGCAATCCTCATTGAGCATGGCGCCAGTGTTCATTCAAGATCATCCAGTGGCTACACACCTTTGATGTTAGCAACGGAGAAAGGTCATTACGAGACGGTGGAGTTTCTTTTGGGGCAAGGCAGCAGTGTTCATACTACAGAACAAATGGGATTTATTTCACTTCACTTAGCAGCTGTGAAAGGTTACACTGACCTCGCACGGCTGCTGCTTCAGAAAGGAAGTAATGTGGACTCCAGAGCCTCTGGCAAGACACCATTGTTTTTGTCGTCATTCTCCAATCACAGAGAAGTCACTGAGCTATTGTTACGCTATGGCAGTGACATCAATGCGCATGACATTTTTGGAAGAACCGCTCTTCATTATGCCGCACAGGAAGGGCTGGTTGCGATGGTAACGCTACTGATTGAAAGAAGCGCTAACGTGCACGCACGGGATCAAGAAGGGCAGACACCATTGTTCATGTCAGTAATCTATGACCAGAAAGAAGCAGCCACGCAACTAATTAATCAGGGAGCAGAGGTAAACGCAAAAGACATAAACAGAAAAACTCCGTTACATTTCGCCGCTCAAGAGGGTTACGTAGAAATTGCCGAGATGTTAATCCAAAATGGCGCAGATGTAAGCGCTGAAGAAGTGACGGGCGATCAACCGCTGGCGCTTGCTGTGGCATATTGTAGTGATGACGTAGTTGCCTTGCTGATACGTCATCGCGCTGAGCTAAACGCTGCAAATGAAAGTCTGTTAACACCTCTTCATATTGCCGCACAGAACGGCAAAACTACGCTTGCCGAGATGCTATTACAGCAGGGTGTTGATCCTGAGGCCAAAGACTGCGATGGTCAGACACCGTTACACATAGCTTGCTCTTACGGGGATATTAAGATGGCGAAAGTATTAGTAAGATATGGTAGTGACGTCGATGCGCGAGACGGCGCTAATCGCACGACGCTTTGTTTAGCTGTAAGTGAAGGACATATCGAGATTGCCTCCTTGCTACTGAAGCGTGGAGCAGATGTTAACCTAGTGGACGGAGAAGGGTACAGGCCACTTCATAACGTCTACACTAATCTTCATAAATTTCTAAGCGACGACCGAACAAGCTTGGCCATCGCTGAACTGTTGTTTGAATTTGGAAGCCAAGTTGACGTGACTGATCATAAAGGGCGAACCGAGTTGCACATGGCCTGTGAATGCTCATCAATTAAACTTGTAGAACAGCTTATTCAACATGACAGTAAAATAAACGCTGTTGATTCGGAGGGATGTACACCTCTTATACGAGCGATAAGGTTCTCTCGCAAGCCCGAACCTATTGTGAAGTTCTTGATTGATAACAATGCTGATATACTAATGAAGGATACGTTGGGTCGCTCTGCTTTACACTATTCAGCAGGGCTGAAAGGAAATCGAAAGATCTGTCAATCTCTGATTCAGAAAGGTGCCAGTGTTTACGAAGAGGATTACGAAGGAAACACGGCGCTTCATTTAGCAGTAAATCATCGCAACAGAAGCACTGCTGAACTCCTGTTAAAAAATGGCGCCAAAATAGACGCAACAAACAATCGCAACGAAACTGCTCTCCTTAAAGCGGTCTCCGCCAAATGCGAATGCGTACACGGCTGCAGAAGGTGCGCGTGGAAATACCACTCTGTCGCGCTGTTGGTCGAAAAGGGATGTGACGTCAGAATGACTGATATTGATGGTAATGGCCCTCTTCATCTGATCGCAGTATGGATTACTGATGCCACTACAGTACGATTGTTGCTTAGAAACGGCGCAGACGTACGGGCACAGAACAACCAGGGAAGCACACCTCTTCATCTTATCTCTGCTGTCAAGTGTGAACGATCCAGGGCAAAGTAAGTCTGCGTAATATGGAACAATTATTTTTTAAACATGTACGTTTTATCAACGATGTTGAGCAAACTATCATGATTTGTTAAACGAAAGCAGATCCGGCTTGGTTGCCTACTCCCAAGGCAGGGGCAGATAATTGGTCTGTGAGACACTGGAGCAGATTTGCGAACGTAGTTCAACCTCAATCAGGTCAATCAGCAGGCTTGTGTTGTTGTTGTTATAGCCGTAATGAGTTTTTCGTGTCATTGTAGTGAAGTCAGAGATTGAAATTATTTCGCCGTACACTATATTTTTGCCTTGTAAGTTCAGTTGGTTTCCTTTCATTTCATCTCAGTGCTTCGAATTTTTTTTTAGCCTAACATTCCTCAAGATAACACAATGAGAACAATTACTGGGACACTTTTATGTCGCTTTTTAGGGCGAGCTCGGTAATGACTGAGGACGAAGATACAGCCTTCGCCCTTCAATCGGTTTTATCTGCATGTGTTTCCGACGGATGACCGCGCCTATCATGGTGGTCTCATTTCCAGTAGAGCACCAATGTATTAGAGTCCCCAGTCATTAAATCCTGTTTAGTACAATGAAAAATTAACCAAATGTAGTTTTGTGGGTGTAGATGGGGTGCTCAAATCTCAGTTATCAGTTCGTTTTTCGACTTTTCAGCCATCAGTTAGAAATTTCGGCAAAGCTTATTTATTTATTTATACAGGAAAATCTGGTTTAGCATAGCTAATTTAAACAGAGTCCAGTAGAAAAAAAACCTACTATCATTAATTACTACTAATCGCGTTTGTCGGAACGCATCCTAATGTGGTGTTCCTGTGGCACTAAGGCAGAAATTTTCTAGCTATCACGGGTGACTGCAAATTAGCCGCCCTTATTAGTTTTATCAGGGGCACCCCGGCCGGGAAACTGGACTCCTTTCGACTCGATTTCTTTTCCGTAATTTTTTCGTGAGTGACGAACACGGATCCGTAACAGTGATTACCTCTGGTCAATAAAAGTAACACTATCTAATCAATACAAACGAATTATGAAAAGAGTTGGTTGAACTCCACCTTGGGCCTCGTTTTCGTTTCTGTTGCAGGTTCACCAGGTCAAGATGGACCTGTGACACAGCGGAGCTATTAATTCGCTATGGCTGTGATATCAGGGCTGTGGATAACGAAGGCAACACTCCACTTCATCGAGCAGCCGAATCGGACCGAGAAGATATTGGTGGCATCTTATTGGACCGTGGAGTCGAGGCAGAAGCCCTGGACTGGCAGGGGAACACACCACTTCATGTCGCAGCGGCTTGTAATTCCATCAGGGTTGCAGCGCTCTTGCTCAAATATGGCGCTAACGTTACAGGATTAAACTCCGAAGGGAGATCACCGCTGGATATAGCTTACAAAGCTGGGAACATCGAGGTCGTTGAGCTCATAGAGCAAACATTACTAGGGTGAATTGTCTAAAGTTTCAAGCGACGTACGTGATTAGCATTATTCGTCACTTCAGAATCGAGAGGAAAACTGGGCCAAGTTAACTTTTGCAGAGACTTCTGGGGCTGTTACTCGCTGTTACTAGGGACTCGGGAAAAAAAATAGACCAATGGCTGAAGAGCCCTTCCCTAGTAACAATCCCAGAACCAATTGCGGGAGACATCTCTGCTCTGGTTTCCCTCTCGAAGGCGGGTTTGAGTTATTCATTGTTCCAATTTTTTCTACTTTCAAGCTCACACAGAGAGAGCTTCCTTGATGCAAGTTATGTAAATATTAGAACAGCAAGACAAAATGTACCAAAGTTTAGAAATCAAGTACATTGCTTGTTTTCGATCCTGCTGCTCTCACTGCCGTCATCTTCGTGGCGTCGAGCGCGGAGGGGGTCGAAAAGCCTTGCTTCCGCCTGTCTTTCGCGTTTTTTTGATTTTGTACTGCGTGGCGGTCGTATAACAACATTTCTCATAAACTGGAACATTTACTGCCAACTACAATAAATGTTAAATGTTTATTTACTTTCTCTTTCGTTTGCTTCTAAAAAACTATAATACAAAAGCGTTTTAGTGACCTCACCGATGAGAGGTTTACCAAGGTTATATTATTTAAATTTTAAACGGCGAAACGACGATGGTCCTGTTGTAATAAGGCAGAAAACCGCCCAAGCCACCGCCGTAGTTTGGACGGCAGGGGATGTTAGCGAAGAAGCGATACTCATCGTAGGGAGCCATTTTCTTTTGCATTTCTTGAGCAACCTGAAATGAAACAAATTATAACAGGAAGAAGTCAGGACGGAAATGATGTCAACGGGGTGGTGGCTTTCACTATGTGACGGCTGCGTGCCAAAAGATGGGAAGTAATATTAAGGTTATAAATGTTTTGTCTTTTCTTCTCTTTCGTTTCGGTACGGTTGATAGAATTGTTGAAATTGTTAATCTATATTCAGTTTTTTAAGAGTAAAATAATATCCATACTTAAGGCGCGTTTTAAATTATAGAAAAGAAAAAGGAAGAAGCAAACTGGAGTTTTTGGATCAGCAAAATGACTTTCTGGCATAGCGATTTAAGTGATACACCTTTTTAATCCTCTAAGCGAGAAGTCTTTTATATGGAATGATTATAAAAAAAAGGTTTTCCACTTGGCCTCGCTTTGAAAGTGACGGTTTCTGAAACTCGGAAATGTCCTATTGGACAATACTTTGATCATTCACATGAAATGTGCAGTCATTAATCAATAATTATACTTCTAAACAAAGTCGGTATTTTGTCTTTTTGTCTTTTGTGAAAAAGGGGAGGGTGAACGGCTTAACCCCTATAAGTCCTAACAGTGACCAACATCAATTTTCTCCCAACAATATCCATATTTTGCCAAGAAAAAAGGTTATGAGAGTTAATAAAATGATCACTAAGGCGAGAATGCTTTGATCTATTATCAAATTCTCTCAACTAATTCTTAAGGGAAATGTATGGAGACCAGTTTGGAGAATTTGTAAGTGGATATCGGGGCTTACAGGGTTAAATGAGAGAGGGGCTTAAAAGAGTGCTTAAAACACTTCTTCCTTTATAAAAAGGAGGCCTATAGAAAGGGGAGAGGCACGTAAAAGAGGATTTTTAAATGTTACGAGGGGAATGCTTACCCCAACGAAGGACTGCTTACTTTTTGGACTCTAGTGTATATTACATGGATAAACATTGGCCTGCGAGCAAGCTCTCCGGGGCCCTCTGGCGTCGGGGCGAGAAAAGGAAGGAAAGCTTCCTTCTCTGGAATTTGAATTCCGCCTCCAATTCCCCTGTGGCTCTCCGTCGACTGAGCGAAGCGGAACGCGGAAACGAGCGCGAATGTAAACAAACATTGAAGCGACACGCGCTAAGGGTAATGACGTCATTTCTAATGTCATCTCAGCACTTTACGGTGCAGCTATTTAAATTCTAGAGACGTAGTTGCAAGCTCTCCTTCCTTTTCCCGCCCCGCCGCCAGAGCGCCCCGGAGAGTTTGCTCGCAGGCTAGAGAAACATTTGACTCAGCGGTATACCTCCTCTGCTTTTTTGAAGGTTCGAATAAGGTTTTCGCCAACGACTTTTTTGACTTCTTCTTCAGAGTAACCTCTCTTAAGAAGCTCAGCAATCAGATCGGGAAACTTTGCTACATCACCCAGGCCTTGGGGTAAGCTGTAATGACATCGAAAGAGCAGTCAAACATCATAAGGCATTTTCACACGAAGACACGACGTCCACAATGTTAGTACGCAAAGTACGTTTAACCTATACCCGGTAGGCTGTTCCACGACAGGCTCTCAGATTGTGCATTCGTCGCGAAAATAATAGTAATTATAATAATAATAATAATAATAATAATAATAATAATAATAATAATAATAATAATTTTAATATTAATAATAACAACAATAACTTGTGCATTTTAAAAATTGTGCAAATAAGTTCAAGAGGAAATAATACTGATGCACGTGACCTGGGAAAAGGGCCTCCGCGCGTTTTGCGCACTAATTTTCTCGATCGCTGTATGAAAGCCTGAATCATACATCTCCTGACGTAAAGTCCTTTGCAACTGGCCGACTCACCAGCACTGAAGATGGGTTTTCAAGATCACTCTTTGCGGTAAAAATATTGAAGATAAACATTTAAAACAAATTAAAAAGTGTCAACTGAAGGTAATTTAAAAGCTTATCCCGCATCTTCACCACCCATCTACACCATCAAACAAGTAAATTGGCAGGGGAGCTTAACCAACTACGACTGTGACAGCATGCAATGAAAACGAAAAAGAACTTTCAAAAGAATTCGCGATGTTCAACCTGCCTTGCTGAATTCCATTGGAAAACTAAAGGTAGACAAACTCTCTGGAGTTGAATAAGTTTTGCATACCCTTTGTTGTCCCTGAAAAAGTTTGCATACACATTGTTTTAAGTTCCCGTCGCTGTAGCTGTCGAAGATGCTTAACTTAAACTCCCTATTGAGTGATAAGTATTACATAACTTACGTTGGGACACCATCGTAATCACTTCCAAGGCCCACGTAATCTATTCCTGCAACCTTCTTGATGTGATCAATATGGTCTGTAATGAAATGTAGAACGCTTTCAAAACGAATTCAGCTTTAAGTCAGCTTTGAAATCAACTTTTTACTGAAATACCAGTCTGGTTACGTTAGTAGATTTAAATTTATTTATATATTTCCTGGTGACTTTAAACAAACTCAAGTAGTTTAAAGTCTGGGTCTAATAGGTTTTCGGGAAAAAATGATTTTTCGATCCAGGCTTTTATTTCAACTCTAAGGCCCGGTTCAGACGCCGAACTTTTCTTGAGCCGAACTCAATTTGGAACGGCTCAGCCGTTCATTTCGCCTAGCGCAGCAGGGAATTTCACCTGTGGAGCGACTTTGGAACGGCTTTGATTCAGACGACGAACTTTTCATGTACCGAACCTAATGGATAAATTATTTTAACTATTTTGTAAGCAGTTTGACCGAAATAAGCATTTTTCTCCTTTTGAATTTAGTTTGGATGGAATTAAGATCGGCGTCTGAATCTATTTAGCCCGTCTGAATAATTTGGGTCGGCCTTAATTCGAATTAGCTTCGGCTCATGAAAAGATCGGCGTTTGAACCGGGCCTAAGTTACGTCATTGACGTGAAAAATAAAAAGATTATCTTCTCAGATCTCCCCTTCAGTTGTCTGATTCGATAACGTCATAAGCATTACAGGAAAAACGAAACAAAACAAAACAAAACAAAACCAAAGGCTTTTAAACTCGCAGTCTCACGCAGAAGCTCCATGAGAAGAAACATGTCCGCGTGGGAAATCAGCATTCTTGTTGCTTTAACTCGCTATTCATAGACTCAAACCTGCCACATGCGATAAATTTGCTGGTAAACTTTTATTAGCTGTGCATCTGATGTATTTATCGTAGAAATTCACCATGACCACGCCTTTATTATCTTTCTACAACAGAGATGAGGAAATGACATATTAATGGATTTAACTTTTTAAACCATAATAGTCGGAGTCAGCATGCATATTTTAATTCTGTTAACAAACAAAGTCGAAAAAGTGCTGTTCGATATTATACTCGATTGCTGAACTCAATTCCGTGAACTCAATCCATAGACTAAATTAAGTTGGATTAAGTTGTGTAACCGAACGTTCGATTGAGTTCACCAGGAAACACCACACCTCACGGCACAAAGGACAAAACCAAAATCTTACCATTCTTTTCAGAACAGTATCAGGAACATTCCGGCCATGGGGACAGTGAATATCAAAAGCAGATGAGTGGCTAAAAATCACTGGAATAACAACAGTTAAGTTAGCACTGGTGCGTTATATATTAGGTAGGTTACCGTCTCATGAACTTATGTTACAGTACACAATTCGCCACGACGATTATTAGCGCAACACAGCGTTGCAACATTGTTACAGCATTGGCTCAAATGGTTGCAACATTGTTCCAACACTGCAACGCTGTGTTGTGCAAAAAATCGTCGTTGAGAATCGTCCCGTGTAACATCGCCTTGAAGCAGCCACAACGACGACAGCATCGAAAACATTACTGAAAAAGAATTAGCGTTGTTTCGGCAAACTTTATCGAGCTTATGTAGCCTCGCTAAATTTTCCAAATGAAGACAGTTTTTACTGGAGTTTAATTCTTATTCATCCGGGGGTCAATTTAATAAAATTTCTTCAAGTGTGATTTAAAAGTGTAGCTATTGTTTTCAGACCCTAAAAAAATGAATAAACTTGTAAATTACCTTGTAAAAGTTTTACTAAATTGAACCTGGGTTGAAAAAAGGGAAAGCAAAGTATTGTCTCCATAAAACGTCGCCAATTAAAGGTAGTTTTACATCCGCCTATCGTAATCACACAGCGGACGTGTGAATGTAAAAAGAAACAGTAAATACAATTTTTCAAAACGGTAAATAAAAGCTAATTCTAAGTCAGTCCTTAACATTAATCATTATACATAAGTCCAAACCATAATCACAGCTCTGTTTTCTCACTTCTTTTCCTACTAACTTGGCTTTTTCTCTTCTTAATTTCCTGTTACTGATAAGCTTTTCGTCTTCTTAAAAAGAATTGATAACGAATACTACGTTGTCTAAACCACACGAGGAGTCCGAACCCCTTCTGAGATATGGATGTAGTTTCTGCCTCATTTGAAATGTAGAGCAAATTAAATAAGGTATCTGGGCTACCACTAAAGGAAGCCAAAGATTAAGGAGAAGACTAGCCTGCAGGGAGAACAACAATAAAACCGTTCAAGATAAAATTTGCGGGAAACAGTCGAGAAATAACACGAGTACCCTACAGATAAAATAACGTAAGGAGAGAAACCGAGACGACAAGATTTTCATAGCAAAAGATCCCAACATTAGACCGCCTCTTTTACCAGGTGCGGCGGATATTTAAACATTTGAATCTACTGATATAAAATAATGAACAGACTAGCCAGCGACCAGGCTCAATTGTACGAGTTCGTGGCTCCGCGAGCAGGCAAAGCCGGCGAGAAGAATGGGGCGAGAAAGAGATAGCCCGCGAGCAGGCTAACTTTTCTTCACGCGCTGGCAGTTACGCCGCCAAAAATATCCTCAAAACTTTTACAAGTTAGCCTGTTCGCACTCTACGAGCAGACTAACATACCTGGGGCTTTAGAAGTATCAAGTGCATCATTCATTGTATGGACGGACACATGTGACAAGTCAACTAACATTCCCAGTCGATTCATTTCAAGCACGACCAGCTAAAATAACGACGGCATTTACTTCTTTAGAATATAACTTACTTTTCCAAATTCAGTCAGACCATTATGGACTTCTCCAGATTCATCCTTCCATGCATCAGCCCTATAGATTCAAAAGCAAAAGTCACGGAATAGTCCAGGGATGTCCTCTCGTACCGCGAACCCTCCGTCTATACAACTTTTTTGTCATACATTTCCTTATAAATAAATAAATAAATAAATAAATAAAAATAAATAAATAAATAAATAAGTAAATAACGATTTGCAGGTAGCACATCCCCGTAGTGGTTCTTCGTCTACCTGATTCCTGGTCGAAGTGGAATTTGGAAATGTTGATTTTTGAGGAGAGGGGAAGACCGGAGTACCCGGAGAAAAACTACTCGGAGCAAAGGAGAGAACCAACAACAAACTCAACCCACATATGGTGTCCAAGCCGGGATTTGAACCCGGGCCACATTGGTGGGAGGCGAGTGCTCTCACCACTGCGCAACCCTTGCTCCCCAATCATCCTTATATGAAAACTTGGCAAACCGTGCTCTGGGATCTAGAATTTAAACATGGTGGATAGGAATGAAAGAATAATGGTAAAATTATGGGTGCGAACTTTTTCTTTTTTAAACGAACGACATCAAACGCACCAAAGGGCTAAAAGGGAAGCAAAAGGGATTATTTTTAGCAGTTTATCCAACATGTTATAACAAAACTTAAAAAATTGAGCCTGACTTTTCAGGTAGCAATTTATTCTTTCTTGTCTTCGTTCATGGCGAAAGACAACTGCATACGGCTATCGCTACTATAGCCTTAATTTAGTCTTCTTAATAATATTAGAAAACGTTCCAGCAATGTTTTGTTGCTGCAAATACATCTTTGGGTTTGTATGCTTCTCGCATGGAGGCCTTTTTGAACCTTACGAATTTAAAGAGGAATCTGTTTGATTTGTCACATAATCATTAACTACAATATACATGTGCACATAAATAAAATTACCATGGAGTATTGCACGAGTGAGTCAGGGTCATGTATCTCACTCCAAGTTTATAGAACATTCTCAACATGCCAAGACTTGAGTCAATAATGTGACCACCCTCTAGTCCAATCAAGGAGCCAATCTTGTCACCTGGGGCTTTAGAAGTATCAAGTGCATCATTCATTGTATGGACGGACACATGTGACAAGTCAACTAACATTCCCAGTCGATTCATTTCAAGCACGACCAGCTAAAATAACGACGGCATTTACTTCTTTAGCTTTGTATTGTAAACTAAGGGGCTTCATTAAAAAGGTTAGCAACAGCTGGGATGGAGTTCAACATTTTCTGGTGAAGGTTATTTAATGAGTAGTATTATTTCACGAGCCAGAAACTGATAATTGAGTATATCAGTTCAGAATAAGAAATGTCTTTATTGATTGGAGGAACAATGCAAAGGGCCTATTTTTAGGAGGCATTCGAACTTTAATCCGGGCGCAGACAAGGCCAGTCTAGCTTTGGTTTCTATCAGATTCACGATGTCGAGTCCCAACGAGGTCTTGTTCATTGCCTTTGTTCGCGTCATCGACGACTGATTTTCTCGTTTGATATTAAATACCACCCTCCCTTCTTTACAGTACCACACAAAACTTATTGGATATTTCTGATAATAATAATAAGCAGGTTACTTGCCATCACATTTGTCAGACCTACCCTCGTGAATGAGAACTAACTTGCCACAAGATTTGCTCATTTGGATCGAACAGCCAAGCACCCGTTACCTAAAACGTCGCAGGTTCTATTTCTATTTTCTCGATTGTGTTCTTTTCCACATGCGAATGACATGCTGGACACTGCACCTTCTTTTAATGCAACCAAGAGAGAAATGGGGTAGAGAGAGAAACGCCCAGTCCAGCCCTTGAAATATGTGAATTTCCGGGACCAAATTTATTTTTAAACCAGTTTTAAAATGCTTTAATTAATCGGAAGTTGGTGTCTGGAAAGGTCCGCAAATTTTTATTCAGTGTTCTCAATAGAGAATTACATTCGCTATTACAATATTCTGCATTGTTTTGGTTATGAGGCAGACACGCGTAGACTTGATGACATTTCGAACAATCGATTAAAATATGTGGACGTTCGAGGAATAAGACTTTCGTTTCATTACAGTTTAAATGAAATTCACATATCCCGGCCAACGCCCTAAGATTCCCTTTCTGTCCTTAGTATTATTCTCTCTTGATATAACTTACTTTTCCAAATTCAGTCAGACCATTATGGACTTCTCCAGATTCATCCTTCCATGCATCAGCCCTATAGATTCAAAAGCAAAAGTCACGGAATAGTCCAGGGATGTCCTCTCGTACCGCGAACCCTCCGTCTATACAACTTTTTTGTCATACATTTCCTTATAAATAAATAAATAAATAAATAAATAAAAATAAATAAATAAATAAATAAGTAAATAACGATTTGCAGGTAGCACATCCCCGTAGTGGTTCTTCGTCTACCTGATTCCTGGTCGAAGTGGAATTTGGAAATGTTGATTTTTGAGGAGAGGGGAAGACCGGAGTACCCGGAGAAAAACTACTCGGAGCAAAGGAGAGAACCAACAACAAACTCAACCCACATATGGTGTCCAAGCCGGGATTTGAACCCGGGCCACATTGGTGGGAGGCGAGTGCTCTCACCACTGCGCAACCCTTGCTCCCCAATCATCCTTATATGAAAACTTGGCAAACCGTGCTCTGGGATCTAGAATTTAAACATGGTGGATAGGAATGAAAGAATAATGGTAAAATTATGGGTGCGAACTTTTTCTTTTTTAAACGAACGACATCAAACGCACCAAAGGGCTAAAAGGGAAGCAAAAGGGATTATTTTTAGCAGTTTATCCAACATGTTATAACAAAACTTAAAAAATTGAGCCTGACTTTTCAGGTAGCAATTTATTCTTTCTTGTCTTCGTTCATGGCGAAAGACAACTGCATACGGCTATCGCTACTATAGCCTTAATTTAGTCTTCTTAATAATATTAGAAAACGTTCCAGCAATGTTTTGTTGCTGCAAATACATCTTTGGGTTTGTATGCTTCTCGCATGGAGGCCTTTTTGAACCTTACGAATTTAAAGAGGAATCTGTTTGATTTGTCACATAATCATTAACTACAATATACATGTGCACATAAATAAAATTACCATGGAGTATTGCACGAGTGAGTCAGGGTCATGTATCTCACTCCAAGTTTATAGAACATTCTCAACATGCCAAGACTTGAGTCAATAATGTGACCACCCTCTAGTCCAATCAAGGAGCCAATCTTGTCATTCTTCTTAGCATCCCTTATGCCTTGAGCCGTTGTGACGAACTCAAGATCCTTCGGATATTTTTCCACCAGCCGTTTGATAACTGCGACTTGTTCAAGGCCTATTCTAACAACATTTTTCAGCCGAGCACTGCATGGAGCGTAAGCTGCCCAAAACTGCAAGGGTTTAGAAATGCCAACTTAGTTTATTTGGACACGAAACACTGATGATACAAAGGAAGGTCCCTATATATAGGTTTTCCGGGATCTGGGATTTTCCTCATTTGATGCCAGGATTCGGGATTTTAGGGGAAAAGAGAAGCGGAAATCGAGAATATTATTCTGAAAGGGGTGCGTGAATTTGCCACATCGAAAATGTGGTCCTAACAAACCGGTATTAAAGAACACTCATTAAGAAGAGTCGAGGGTAGTTTGAGAGATCTAATTTAGTTTATTGCGATAAAAACACTGAGTGTAAACTGAAAATGAAAATTCGTTTTGTGTGACGGCACGGCTAGAGAAAATGGAGACAGTCAACGGATAGGGATCAGGAATGCTAGAACTGAAATGTGAAGGAGCTTTTATTTATGTATTTATTTATCATGCAAATCCTCTATTGAGCCTCCCGCGGGCCTTAATTATTTCATGGGCGCAATTGAGGGTGGGGGCTTAATAGAGAGGAGCGCTCATTTGAGAGGTGGGGCTTACTCAATTTTACTGCTTTTTCAAACAACTAGAAAATGGTATCGATTCTCCATTTTAAAAAAATGTTGAAGTCTGCGAGGGAAGCTCGAGGTCTTGAGGCCCAAGATCAAAACAAATCCAAACGTCTAGGAAGTGGATACAGTCAACTCTCTCCAAGACGGACACCTATGGGACCGGCACTAAGTGTCCGTCTTACAGAGATGTCCGTCTTATAAATAGTCAAATAAAAGGAATAAGCAAAGGCAGGGACCAACTCTAGGTGTCCGTTTTACAGAGGTGTCCGTCTTATAGAGGTGTCCGTTAAGAGAGAGTCGACTGTAAACCGGCTATTGATCAGTCCACATGGCGGGAATTGTTACAGTCGCGATTGATTAATACTTTTATCAATTATTAATTCGTTTGTGAAGCAAATGAAAGGAGGGGCTAGAGGAGGGGGTTGGGGGGGGGGGGGGGGCTAAAAGGGGGGGGGACTAATAAGTATCTTTTCCTGAAAAAAGCCGGGGGTGGTGCTTATTAGAGAACGGGCGGCTATTTGAGAGGGAGGAAACTTTATTTACGGTATTATGTAAGACTTAATTGCTTAATTGTAAAAATATCATCTTTCAAAAAACACAACAGTTAGCCAGCTGGTTGAGGCAAATATATTATATACGTACAAACTAAAGTTTTAAAGTATAAAGATGAAAAGTGTACTTACATTATTAGCAATCAATGATAATAAGTTAAAACCAAATACTCATGAAGTCAAAATATAGCAGTCATTTTGATAAAGAAGTTAAGCAGCGACTGTTATTGCGACGTAGCCTGCTCGCAGACGTCTCAGTCCTATTTCCATTGTTGCTCTATGTAAAGAGACATACTCTCCCTTTTCCTAGAGCCCCAAAATCAACGAAGTAGGAGACGTCGGCACGCAAACTTACTTCAACGCGAACCTTTTTACAATTTCGCAGTTTTTGAGAAATTATGCATTTCTGTGACCTTTCTATCGTTGTACTTAATTCATTTGTACGTTGAAGAATCCCACCTAACTATTTCTCTAAGTTATTATTATAACCAAGAAATGTGGCTCGAAACCCAACACGATCTAGCGAAAGCCCAACACGAGTCCAGCTCGAAACCTCAACACGAGAGCTTTTTCAAGATAAAATGGACGTGTTGATCGCACGACAACGTTTTCCTTCCGCAGCGAAATACATAACATAATTCTTCCCTTTAAATTGGATAGTCAGCAAATACCTTTTTGTCACTAATTTCCAGGATTTAAAAAAATTGCGAAATTGAAGACCCGCGAAAAAAAAGTGTTCGCAAAAAATCCCTCGATATTAATAATTCTTTAGTCACCAGGATGAGAGAAAGTAGGAGTTTCTGGGGTAGTTAACGGTGAGTAAGCTCTTCTTCCCGAGGATCCATTCGAATAATTTGTTAATCTCGATCAGTATTTTGACAATTTCCGCAAAATTTAGTTCTCTCTAATGCAGTTTTTGGCCAAATCGCGGAATTAAGTTATTTTTTTATACTGAGTCCCGATAGACGCGTACAATCCATTCCGCACACCTTAGCGTTCTCAGTGACGTTGTATTATCTTTTCTTTATCTGGCTAATAGTGGGGCAGCGGTACCAGGCCAGATGTTGATCATACAAAGGAGTCCCTGATGTGCATAGAACAATGATAGAAGCGTTCGGACCTCGTACTATCACATCGGTTAAGATGTGATGGCAGGCAGTAGAGCAAGTGGGACAATCTGTGTGGTCAGTATCTTACACATACGTCCTAGTCCACATGTCAGATACTGATCCCATTCAGTTTTTGTTTCGACAAAGTATATAAGAGATCCTGAGAAGATACAGATGGTTTTTTGCCCACGATCGTGACCCCAGAACATAACTTTTTACGTGATTGTTTACCTGGCTACCGACTTTTCCTTTCCTCAGCCGTGGTATGTCTGTATGCCACGTTGATTCGTTTGTCCCGAACGTCAGATTCTCGAATCTATTGTGGTACTTGATGCGAATCTGATACGGAATGTCGTTATGCCTGAAATGGATGAAAGGAAACCTTCGTGATGAGGTTGAGCATATTAAATATTAAAAAAAATTATGCGCTTCGGCAAGGTGTTATCGCATCTGAGTGGGGATTTTCACGAGCGCCCACGTTCCTGAAACCGTGTGTACAGCATCCCCTTCACCATTTTTTTTCCCGGAGGGCTGGAAAGGGTGGCGGGGGGGGGAGGGGAGCTGTACACCGATAAATGATGGAATACTCATGATCTATTCCTGGGGTGGATTTATTATCTGTTTTCAAGTGATTTAAATGAAAAACCACTAGAAGACGAACTTTATCGGTTGCCCAGGTCGGGTGTCCCTCAAATATTCCAAAATTTTATTCCGGGAACGTGGTTTCCAGCGAAGGCCAATAATAGTGTTTCAATAGCTGAAAGTCAATCAAATGTTTTCGTTATATTTTCTTCTCGTTGTTTGTTGCAACTGCAGGTTTTAGACGTCAACTAATGAAGCACCACAAGATGTGCTCCAGACTTGCGCGAGCCTCGCTGTAAATTCCATGACTCACAGCAAGAGCCATAATGGCTCTGGCTCATAGGTGGCCCAGACAGCCCTAGGATTTGGGGGGGGGGGGGGGGGGGGGGGGGGCACCCCCCGAAATTTGGATTAGGTGAGGGGAGGGGGGGTGGGGTTTTTTAAAAACAACAACCCTCGGTCGGTCCCTGCCAGCGCGCCGCGGTCTGGATATCGAGAACGGGACCAAGCGGGGGGCGGGGTGGCGGGGGGGAGGGGGGGGGGGGGGGGGGGGGGGGGGGGGGGGGGGGGGGGGGGGGGGGGTTGGGGGCAACCCACGTAAATTTGACTTAGTGAAGCGTATGTGAGTGAGGTTTTTTTCATCCTGAACGCCCCCAGCCTCAGCTATCATATTGAAAAGTGGAGAGGACCTGGCAATGAGTGATAAGTGCTCCGCCGTCTTAGAAAATACCCAGTGGTCATTCGGATGAATTTGCTGCGTTTCAACGCTTTGATTTCTTCGTGAAGGATAGGAAAACGAAAGTTAGGAATATCTTGTCGCTTTTTAAGCAAAAAATGGTGTTTTTAACACCCATCGACGTTTCAGTACAAAAACTATTTTGTCCCTCACCTGTGAAGAGAAGTATCGCACAAAACCTCATATGAAAATATGCTTTCTACTTGTTTTCACTTGATGCCGCCTTGCCGCAAGATTTCGATATCGAGAAAGATCATAAGTCAAACGTACATACCTAAAATAGTCTTGGAATCCTGTGTCAGATTTGCTAGCATACTCCAAATGTCCAATTAAAAGAAATTCTGGACCTCCGTTACAAACATTAGCCCTTAGACATTAACACCTCTCGATGATGACATGTTCTAACATTGCTCATTTTGTATCCATGTAAATACTATGTGAAACAATTCACAGATACTTTCGGGAGTATAGACCGTGTGTTAAATTGCCATCCACGCTAAATATCTAGCTAAAATATGTCTTCTTCAATTAGGGAAATGCACAAAGTTTCAAGTTTTGTCACTGAGAAATTACTCTCTGGAGACGCTGAGTGTAGCCTGCGGATACAGCCGTTTCACCTTGCTACTCGAAACGTCCCTAGCGGCGAGGACAGAGGAGAAACGGCTGCAATGTATTAGCAGGCTATGATGAGTGCTGCAATAAAGTGGAGTAAGTGCCTATTGGTTCGCCCCAGGGCACAGGGTCCAGAGGAGATGTGTTTGTCGTTAGAAACATCAAAACCCGTCGAAAACCTCTGAAAAAATGGCGAACAACAAAGTCGATCTGAGTCAGATAAGAAGCGAAGAAATCGTTTACAGTAGACTCATAATAAAGATTCCATTAATTTGGGCTAATTAATCGTGCTAAGCGACAGATATAGACATTTTTCAAGGTGAGACTTTAAATAAGTAATTCATTTATTCACACGAAACTCCTCTGGACCCTGTGCCCAGGGACGGGAATTGGACTCATAAATGGGGACTCAAAGGTGGGGATATTGATATTTGAAAAGCTGAACGTTTCAAATTTCCCGTGGGTTGCCCCTCCCCCCCGCTCCCTCTAACCCCCGCCTTGAAAGTTACGTAATAGTGCCGACGCTCTTATTTCTACCTGTACATAACCTCAGTCCTCAAACATTGGTTTTAACCCGTCGTCGGAATCGCCCATAAAAAAATTTAATAATCTTAAATAACATTTTATGCATTAGACTTTACGGAATGTACGAACGCAAAGCAATCGGTTCTCTATTGATCATCCTAGGGTCAAAGGCCAACATTAACCATGCATAAATTCAGGGGCACCTCGCTGTAAGAGATATATTGGGGATGCATGCACTCAAAATAGTAAAAATTCACGTGCATCCTTGTTCAAAAGGTGGTGAAGAATTGAACGAAAGACAAACTTTCCTTTCGATGAATTGTTGACTGATGATAACAAATCTTTTAAATACTCACCCGTCCACAAGCGGGGTTTCATCCAGAATTTTATTCGCTTTCTTCAGGTACTGATCCGACGCTGCTCGAGTGCTGCGACCCGACGAATAGGACAAACAGACAACAAGCATATAACCCACGAAAAAGAACCCCACATACATCCTTTTCTTTCCTGATTTGTTTTCAAGACTTGCGCTTCAACCCAGAAAAAGAGGCGGCGGTGGCGGTGAAAAGTTCAGTTGTTCCCAGAGTAATACAAGACTGTTAGATTTGGTTACTGAGTACCTTGAGTAGTCTATGATAAACTCTTTTGTTGTATTTTTTCCAACCAATGAATGTGAGCGAAATTGGACAGTTAATTAACTTGTCAAGGCTTTAATGGGCGAGTATCAGGTTGGTGTCATCGAATACTTCCCTCACGGCGTTTCGATATCCTCCTAACTTTGCAGGTGCGCAAAGAAATTGCTATCGTTCCTATCTTATCCATGTCCACCTCAGACAGCTCAAATGAATCGAAAAATTATTTTAATTGGCGTTGCTGTTGTAGTTGTGCTTGTGATCGTCATAGCAGTACCTTGCGCCTTGTTGCTAGGAAAGAAAGACGACAAACCTAAGACGTTTATGCAACGCGCCCAACAGATATTGGACGAAACACCACTTGTTGACGGGTAAGAGATCGTATTTGAGTTTAGATTTATCATGAGTAAGTTACAGAAGATACTAAAGGGGGCTTTTTGTCGCTTATTTGTTTCCGTATTTACATTTATTCGAGAGATTTTGCACATCTTAATGCATAGTCTATTTCGCAGCCGTTTTCAGGCTCGTCACGCAACGCTCCTCCCCAGTGTTTTGGGAAGAGCGTTGCGTGACTAGCCTTAAAACGGCTGCGAAGGAGACTATAGAGAGATTAAGATTTACGTTTACGGCATACGGCAAACGGCAAACGTCAGTTGAGAATTTCTCAGAATAGAAAATAAGCAGATAAAAACAGTCCAGAACGATTCTTGTGGCCAAAACTGGCATTAAACTACTTATTTTTGTGTGGAAACAATATACAGTAAACGAAAAATAAGGAGAAAACTTCGTCACGTGGTACAAATTCACGTTTGCCGTTTGGCGTAAACGTGAATCTTAATCTCTCTTATAGCCTGCTGCAAACCTGTTCCTAATTTACGTGAAATTATGCACGTTGGCTCCACTGGCCAAAAACGACTCGATTGCTTTGCATTTGTACTCGCCGTAAAAGGCCAATGCATACAATATGTCGGTCAATAGCATTCTTGCTCGTTGTGTAGCTCTTTGAATAAGGACGATTTTCACACATATTCCATACAATAGGTGAGATAAATACAGGAAACGCAAGGTTCCATGCACAGTTTCAGGTCGATTTACACAGCTTTGATCAAAACATTCTCAGTTTCCAGAATAGTTTATTCTAAACCATAAGAGAAGATTTAATTAGAAGCTGAATTTTTCGCTATTTCTCTTTCACTTTTTACATTCAGTTCATTTTTTTTTACCGGAAACGAAGCCTTAGAAACTAAAAGGACGTTTGATCAATTCACACTCGCGCATTCTAGTCTTATTTTAAACTCTATAGCGGAAGGACATCTGTGAGCAGGGAATAAGTCAGCACAGAATTTGATTGTCGGTGAGTTTCTGTAATCGTCCATCGACTGTTTTCTGTAAAATTTCTGTTCGGAGAAGCAAATATTGCCTAAAATTTTCTATTTCTTGAGGAAGGCTAAACATTTCTAGGTGACTGCTCCATTCGTGTACAATTTTCGAAGCTTTCCTAAAAAATTTCCTACGATTTTCTGAAGTTTAATTTTTCACATTTCACTCCCCAGGTCTGGCTTTTTTTCGTAGAAAAAGGAAACCTAAAATTTTCGGATTCAAAAATGCGATGAAGAGAGGAATTAGAAAAATTGTCACTTTCTTAAAACGTTAAATTACATCTAAAATTTTCTGGAAAGTAATACTGAAGCCCTAATAATTTCGAAAAGTCTTCGGTTGCCCTAGGATGACCGAACAGATGCAAATTTTCTAGCACCGCTGAGAATGCATTTCTAGAGATCTAAAAATACTCTGGGTAGCCTAAAAAGTGTTTTCAGGGTATTTAGGAGGAAACCGTCGTTGGGTGCCCCTGATACTATTTAAGATTATTAAATATTTTTGTAAAGCGAGGTGGATAAAAAAGAAGGTGATAAAAAAAAACACTCCATGGGCGATTCTGACAACGGCTCAAAATTAAAACCATTGTTTGAGGACTGATAGACTGTTCACAGTCCTCTGTTTTTCCGTAAGATCGTCGAGATCGAGCGCTTTGTAAAAAATATCAAGATGGCCGCCATTAATGGTAAGACGCGCTCTATCTGGACGATCTCACGAAAAAATAGGGGACTGTTAACAGTCTAGTTTGTAACGGAGGTCCAGAATTTCTTTTAATTGGACATTTGGAGTAAGCTAGCAAATCTGCACAGAATTCCAAGACTATTTCAGCTTAGCCTGCGAACACTGCCGTTTCTCCTTGCTCCTCGCCGCTAAGGACGTTTCGCCAGGACGCTGCGGCATATTTCGAACTTGCATTGGGCTTCCAGTGGGATAACTTTCACGCTCATCTTAGCCTGTTCCAGGCGTTCACATTGTGGATAGCCGCACGCAGTGAGAGAGGGGATAAAAAATTAGGAGGGAGAGGGGAGGGAACTGTCTCTTCGCTCTTACCCCTTTGCCAAAATGAAACTCCTCGCTCAGTTTTATCTGCTCGCATCTCTTTGCGTTGTCTGGCCACGATCTAAAAGCCTGGAACAGAGTAGGTCCATCTCGTTATGCTACTGAGAGACAAGCCAATTTACCATGACTGCCCCTTTGAGTAGTATAGGATAAACAGCGACAGGTGCCCTTCAGCAGCTTTTACAATACTGTTTGTTAGTCATGCAAATAAAGGTTGTTCATATTGCTATTAAATGCGCCCTTTTTTGAAGGTCGATGCTCTTTCGAGCAAATACTGTATGCGTCTTCCTTACACTACATCTCAAAATACATTAATCAATTCTCTTTGTTCCTCAAGGCATAACGACATTCCATGGCAACTGAGGAAGTACTACATGAATCGGCTTGAAAACGTGACCTTAGACAAGAATAATCCTAAATTCCATACTGATATTCCAAGGCTAAAACAGGGTGGTGTTGGAGCACAGGTAAGGGTAGAGAAACAAGACTGTGGGAGAAATAAGCGGAATTGGACTGATTATAACAGACGGAACGTTGTTTTGGTCTTTGCAATCAACGCGCGCGCTCTCTTTTTCCCGTAGCCCCAGCAGAGCTAAGTCCTAGTAGTAGTTCCTTTTTTGGTAATGAATCAAAACAAGGATAATCAAATTTACTACTTTTCTCGAACCAAATGTTAATCTTCTTAGTGTTGAAAACGAAGAAATAACATTGTCAACAGCAACAGAACTAGTCTGCTACAAAGCCGTTGTAGTCACGCCACGCTCCTCCCTGGAGCGAATTTCAACCTAAAACAGTAATGTCCTCGTGACATGGTTAGTTATTACTTGATT